TGCAGTGACTTCACATTATGTCCTGACCGCAAGTCTGGCGTTGCCTCCTCGGTCCGCTCCGCCCCGCCCCACTCCGCCCCGCCCCGCCCCGGCCGTGCCTCTGGGTTTGTTTTCTCCGACGCAATTAGCAGCGAATTTATGAACACGCCCGCCGAGTACCTTCCGGTCAATTCGATCGCCTCCCCGGTCAAAGAATGAAGATCGCTGGCCGCGATGAGGCAGGCCCTATGGGCAGGCCTAAGCCGCGCCTTGCCGTGCCGCGCCAAAAGTAAGACGTAAGTCATGGGCGGGCGGGACCGTTTTCGGAATTCGCTTCTGTAATTGTGCTCGACGGACCGACCCGCTGCTCGCGGCGCCGGTGGCTCAGTTGGTTACGAAGCCGGTCCCTGAACCCGCCGGCCCGGGTTCGAATCCCGAGCAGTACTCGCCATTGTTACCCCGCCATCGTCTTGTTCGTGAGCGAGCACTCAAGTGGTTTCTGTTTCTTCCGGAAAGTAAACACAGTGTGCCCAAATCTATTTTTGGAATTTTTGACACCTGCCTGTTTTTGCCGCCAGGGACCGAACCGTACTTCTTCGGCGGGAACGAGGGACGGGCGAGTCTCGACGGTCCGGGGGATCCCCTTTCATTCGCTAAATTTTGCGAGCCACCCGCTCCGTGTGCCGTGCCGCAATCGAGGCGGCAACGACAGGGCGGTAAAAGCATTTCATGGGCAGCGGCGGCAGAGCGACGTCAGCGACAGCAGGACCGACGACTTTTGGCCCATTTTAACAAGGTCTGGCCCGGCCGTCGTCGCCTGGCGAAGCCCGAAGGGCCCGAAGCCTGGCGTTGTGTCACCGCCTCATCTGCTGAGTCGCTGCCTTGTCTTCTTGCAGTTGTTGGCAGTGCCCTGGCAGTGTCCTGGCAGTGCCAGCAGCGGCGGCGTGCCGGCGGGACAGTCTGATTCTGATTCCGAGCGGTCGCTCCGTCTCGCTCGCACCCGTCCGTCCCCCGGGGACGAACCGCGAGCGCGAGAGAGACAGAGCGACGTGCCAGTCCACGTTGCTTCCGCGGATGTATCGACTTAATCTAATCCACCGCCATCTGTTTGTTTCAGCCGCGCTGTCTGTCATAACCCTTGCCGGTGTTACAATTGGAGTCCGGCGGGCGGGGCGGGGCGGGGCGGGGCGCTCCCGTTGGCCGAATGGGGGCAGCACTGGCGCTGCCGGGCTGCTGGCAGCACATCAGTGCCTCTTTCGTCACTTTAAAAGTGCCCCATCCTTGTGATCAATGTGACTTTAGAAAGCCGGCCGTGCAGGTGGTCGAGCGGGTTTTTGGCTGTACACCATGGAAGCCATGGGCACGCCATGGGCACGCCACTGGCACGGCATGGAGGAGGCGGAGTGCGTGATCCTGGCGTGTTTATGAAGTGTGGCAATGAGGCGACTTGACCCGGGCCAGCCGGGCCAGCCGGGCCACGCAGAGGGTCATGGAGCTTCAGCTTCAGCTTTACTGCCGCCGCTTCTTGTTCTAGGCGGGGCCTCGCGGCGGGGGCCCCCGCGGACGAGCCCGCGGGGCTGACTCCGCAAGCCTCTCCCTCTCTCTCTCTCTCTCTCCCTCATACGGGACGCGCAGGAGTGAGAGAGACAGCGCGCTGTTCGGAGTCGTCCTGCAGGTGAAATATTCTGACGGAGCGAGCCGCGGACGGCCCGACGGCGACGGAGCGATGCGCCGCGCCGCGTTGAGTGGATGTTATCGCGAGCCGCGCACTGGAAGAAACTCGAGCTGGAGCCACTGGAAACAGCCAAAAACAAACATCAATACGATTTTTGTTATTTTTAGTTTTTCGTAATTCGGTTGGGATTGTTTGTCGGTTGGAAGCGACCGCTGCGAGTTCGCCAGCCTCGCTTCCACCACACTGTGGTGTTACATACACTGCGTGAGGAGGGCATTTTGAAAGGGCCGCTGGGCTGGGTGACTTCTTGAAGGCCGCGAACGACAACGCCTAGCACTCACTTTTGTTCCAGCCGGACAGAGAGGGATAGAGAGAGAGGATGGGGAGAGAGGGAGGGAGAGTAATCGGGAGAAAAATAGACGCTCGCAGCACGACGCGCGGGGCGACTTGGGTGATTGAATAATGTGAGCACCTCAGCGGCAGACTGACTCCGAGAGTGGTCGCTCTGTCTCTCTCGCACTCGTGGGGCTTGCTGTGCGGGTGCGAGAGAGGCTGAGCGACGACTCTCGGAGTGAGCCTACAGCCCCCACGCCCTGTCAGGGGCCGAGCCGGTGCGCGGTGGCCGTCAAGGTGCGTTCTAGCTGCCGAGTCGCCGGCCTCACCGCGGGACCATCTGGTTGTCTCGCGACGTCCTGGCCGCGCCGCTCTTCCAGGTGTGGCACTGCACTGCCACCTGCGTGAGGCCGGCGTCGAGCGGCGTCCACCTCTCTCCATACATGACTACATGACCGAGCACCCGCGGTGGGGCCAGGGGGCTTGCACCCGCCTGGGGGCCCAATGTGCCATATCCGGGATTTTTCCCGAACAACCCGGCCGGTCCCGGCCGAACCCAAGGACCCCCCGGGTTCGAAACCAGCGGGGGGAAGTTTGCGATTTACTTTTGTTTTTTGGCTTCTTCTTGTTTGTTTGTGTGCATGTAGGGCTTCGCGTGTGGGAAGGGAAGGGAAGGGAAGAGGAGGGGGGAGCCCATCCGACAGGTGCAAGGCGTGCAGGGCGGCGCGCGGACACACCTCCAGGCCGCTCGCTGGGCCCAGCCCGTCCGTCTGGCTCCAGTTCCCGCTGTTCCCGCCGCGGCTGGAGCGGGCTGGAGTCGCCGGAGTCTCCAGACGTGCGGCATTTCTTCCTCAAGGCCGTTCCGTTCCGTTCCTTCCCGCCCGCGCCGCGGTTAGGTCCGCCCGTCCGTCCGTCGTCCGCCCCGCCCGGAGACGCGCTTCCCTCTCTCCCCTCTCTTTCTCCTGCACTCGGAAAAAAGAGCTCGGCAAAAAAGCCGCCGGCGCCACTCATTTCTACGGGCGGTACACACGCCGCGCTGCCGTGCTGGCGGTCTTGGGGTCTAGCCGCGGTGTCGGCGAAGTCGCGCCGGAGCAGTTTCCGGCAAAGAAGTCCCAGTTCTTGGCTGTGCCGTTCTGGCGTCCCGCCCCGACGTGGGCGGGTTCGCCGCGCGCGTTTGAGTTCGGCAATTATTTATAGGTACGGCCCGGGGCCTGGACGGGGCCCAGACGGGTCCTGGACGCTCCTAGGCGAGGCCTAGACCCTAGACGGGTCCGTGCAGCCAGCGCTGGCTGCCTTGATGACCCGCATCAGCTGGGTGTGCCGAAACACCGTCCAGAAGGACGGCGGCGAGGCCTGTGGCTGACTGGCTGGCTGCCCGCGTGCTTGGCTACGGCTGGCTAGCTGGCTGCCTATCGATGTGGACCGATCCACTGCCAAGGGCATAGGAAGCGGTTTCCTAACGAGATCGACACAGTCCGCTTTGCCTGCATGCCCTCAGCTCACCCCGAAGGCGAATTCCGCAAGCGATTTGGAAGGTTTGTTCACGCTACACTGCACTATACAGGCCCCATGCAGTTTCACTGTCAAGGCGGTGCGGGCTAAAGTGAAGTTCAGGAACAAAATGGAAGGAAGCGCCGTTGTTGCAACTCTGCAACGCGCACCGGCCTTTTGGGTGGCGCCCTCTTACAGCGCCCCGCCGGTACTGGACCCTGACGGTCCTAACGAGGTTAATGAGCAGCTCACACACACAGTAGGAGAGAGAGAGAGAGAGAGAGAGAGAGAGAGAGAGAGAGCCAATGATGGAACCCGCAGGTGAAAATATTTTGTGCAAAAAAGTTATTGGTGCGCGGAATCATGAAGCAGAGCGCACTCTCTTTATTTTTTGAGGGGAAAAAATGCTTCAGTACGCACTGGTTCCAAGTTACGCACGTACCAGCGCTCAAGCGGCGGCACGCGCTGAGCCACGCACACAGGCACACACCAACACACACACACACAGGTGCGAAGAGGCGAAGAGCCACCCCGACGTGAACGTGAACTTGATGCTATCGTCGGGCGGCCAAGGTGCGCGTGCCGCGAAAGGCTTGCCCGAAAGTCTCTCTGTCTCTCTCTCCCTCCCACCTGATTGGCGCCTCCGCGATGCACCGGCGCGTTGTCAAGGTGTCAAGGTGCCGCCGATGTCCGTCATAAAGCGGTTGCGAAAACCGGCGGCACTCGCCGGGGATCGAACCTTGGATCGAACCCTCACCACTATCGGAGAGACTGGCATATGTTTTGAAGCGGAGTGTACAGCCGGCCGGCGCCTCACGACGTGCGGCCGTTTGCGTCGAAATCCTCCTCATTCCAGCCGCCATGCGGGCGTGGCAGTGTGGCAGTGGCGTGGCGACCGCGGTCCAGGCGGTCTGTCTGCAAATACGGCGTCCAGGCGATGCCGGGCCTCTGGCCCTTTTGGCCCTTTTGGCACAGGTCAGGGTCGGAGGTACGAAACGCGAACCGGCGCGCCGCGAGCAGCAAGCACTGAGACGGAGGGGAGGGGCGTCATGAGTTTGGCCCAGTGCCCCGCGACACGCCCCCGGGCCCCCGGGCCCCGCGCGGGGAGGGGGCTGTCCAGTGGGGCCCGCTGGCCTGCTGGCCGACTAGCCGGCCCTTCCCGCAGGCCGCACCGCCGGGGCTCCAGGGACTCCAGAGACTCCAGCGCGCGAGTCGAGAGGTGCGACTCCGGCGGTGGGGCGTCCACGTCCGCCCGTGGCCGTCCTGGCCGTCCCGGTGGTGGCGGGGGTTATGCAAACGGGAGCAGAACCTGTTGTGGAGCCCCTACGGCCCCCGACGCCCCCACCGGCCCCGGAGCCCCGGAGAGGCGGCAGGGCCGGCAGGGCCGGGGAGGTGGGACCCTCGGCGGGCCTCCGGTGGTCCCGGGTGGGCCAGGCCTGGCCGCGGTGGGGCGCGGTGGCGCGGCGGCCTGTCGGCAGGGAGAGGGATGGTATAAAGCGCCGCCTTGGCGGTTCGGCCGGCATTCCGTTCTCCGGCGGACATCACACACCAAGCATGAAGCCCGCCTCACTCCTGGTCAGCATCTGGACTTACTAACGCCGTGTCGCCTCGCCGTACAGTGCAGTGATTGTGTGCAAAGTGCTCCCCCAGCCACCCAGCGCCGCCAGCGCCATGAGGATTTACCTAACCTGGATTTTACGCCTGCCGCCGCGGCTGCCGCGCCTGCCGCGCTCGCGAGTGTTCAAGTGCAGTGCATCGGTGTGGGTGCGAGCCTGGCCGGCCGTCAGGCCCTCCACCCGGCCCGCGGACCAATGGGACTACTTCCTGCTGTTCGGCGTGCCCGCGTTCCTGCTGCGATGTGCGCTCCGCAGCGCCGGACTCGCGTTCCCGCCGGGGACCTAGCCAGCCTCGCGAACTAACTGGCGTGTCGCGTTAGAGAAACCACAATTTTTTGCAAAAAAAAAAAATGTCTGCACTTTTGTTGGCTAGAAAAGCATTCGCGGATGTAACTGCAGTGTTCGGTATCGCGATGACGGCCCTCAAGTGCCTCGGTGGCACTTGGCGCCGCGAGGGCGCGGGGCGGGGCGGGGCGGCGTGGCCCAACGCGCGCCGCCTGTTGCCCGTTGCGCGCCGAGCCGCGGAGCACGTGAGCGAAATCCGTACCGTACATCGCGGCGCGGCGGCGCGGCGTCGTCGGACAGCGCGGCGGCAAGAAGGCGCTACCGCGCGGCACGATCTCGTCGGAGTGCGCCATGGCAGCCATGGCGAGGCGGGTGCTGCATTGTGATGCAGTTGAGCGACACCAGCCAAGCGCCCTGCCAAAAAAAAAAAAAAAAAAGAAAACACATGTGGCGCTGGAAAGATTGCTTTGGGGGGCTTGCTTTGTTTCACTGGTCAAGTGTTAGCGTGAAAGCCTGCGGCTGGGGCTGGGGGACGCCATGTCCAGTGCGTGGCATTTTCGCACTCTGCACACAAACCCTGCCAGTTAGTTTTCTCATACTCGCGAGTTGCGTTCGCATTTCCGGCACGCCGTTCTAAACCGCCACTCCACTGTCTTTGCGCAGGTGGGGTGTCTGCTCCTCGCGGCGGCGAGGGCAGCCCCGGCCGACCCCGCAGCGGCAACGGCCGTCGCGGACCCCAAGAAGCAGGAGCTACAGGTGCAGGCGCAGCCCGGAGACGCAGTCACTCGCGCCAAGAAAAGGTGAGTCCCGCCGTGTGTCAGACAGTGTGTCAGACACTGTGCCTGGCCCAGTCTCGCGCGTCGCTCTGTCTCTCTCCAACCATCTGCGGGAGAGAGACAGAGCGACCGCCCCCGTTCGGTCCTCTGCGCCGCTTGTGGTGCTCCCACGCCCAGGTGGGTCACGTCCCCCGTGCGGCCGCTTCCGCGACCCATTCAAATTTGCCGCGGCCTGGCCGTGAGAGCGACAGAGACGGCGGCAGCGATCGGGAAACCGAGCCGAATGCAATCGGGGCCGCGCCATCGGGCCGTCGGGGCGTCGGGGCAGCACGCCGCGGCTATGATGCGGCCGTGTGAATGCGTTACGAGGATTGACACAAGAGCCGCCCCCCCCCCTCACTTTCGCCCGGACCGGCCGGGCCACTCCCTAATTAATTCGGAATGCGGTTTGATTCTCGCGCCTACACCGGTTCCTTTATCGGCCTTTTCATTCTGCTTTTCTGCTTTCAGTTTGGAGTATGGCATTGGCGGCGGCGGCGGCAACGGCGGCTGGGATGACTCATACGGCGGTGGGCAGCAGGCCGGCGGCTACGGTGGCGGCGACGACCACCACGACCACCACGAGCACCACGAGCCCAAGGTAGAGTGCCACAAGAAGCTCGCCTGGAAGACCGAGTGGAAGCAGATCTGGAGGACCGAGAAGAAGCAGATCTGGCGCACGGAGAAGAAGCAGATCTGGAGGACAGAGAAGAAGCAGATCTGGAGGACCGAGAAGAAACAGATTTGGCGCACTGAGAAGAAGCAGATCTGGAGGACAGAGAAGAAGCAGATCTGGCGCACAGAGAAGAAGCAGATCTGGAAGACCGAGTGGAAGAAGATCCAGGTCCCCGTCTGGAAGGAAATCCAGGTCCCGGCATGGAAGGAAATCCAGGTTCCCGACTGGAAGAAGATTCAAGTGCCAATCTGGAAGGAAATTCAGGTACCCGCCTGGAAGGAAATCAAGGTCCCCGACTGGAAGACGATCCAAGTGCCCATCTGGAAGGAAGTCCAAGTCCCCATCTGGAAGGAGATCCAGGTCCCCGACTGGAAGAAGATCTGGGTGCCCGTCTGGGAGAAGATCTGGGTTGAAGAGCCATCTCACGGCTGGGACGAGCACGACGAGCACGGTCACGGACACACCAAGAAGGTCTGGAAGAAGAAGCTGGTCTGGAAGCCCGAATGGAAGAAGATCTGGAGGACCGAGAAGAAGCAGGCATGGATCACCGAGAAGAAGCAGGCGTGGAAGGAAGAGCAGATCCAGATCTGGCGTACCGAGAAGAAGCAGATCTGGCTCAGCAAGAAGGTCCAGGACTTCAAGGAAGAGTCTGTCCAGATCTGGAGAACCGAGAAGAAGCAGATCTGGGTGCCGAAGAAGGTCCTTGAATGGAAGACTGAGTGGAAATCAATCCAGGTTCCTGACTGGAAGGAAATCCAGGTCCCCGACTGGAAGGAGATCCAGGTTCCCGACTGGAAGGAAATCCAAGTTCCTGACTGGAAGGAGATCCAGGTCCCCGACTGGAAGGAAATCCAAGTCCCTGACTGGAAGGAAATCCAGGTGCCCGACTGGAAGGAAATCCAGGTTCCTGACTGGAAGAAAATCCAGGTGCCCGTGTGGGAGAAGGTCTGTGTGACCAAGGAGATCGTCGAACACCACGACCACCATGAGTCACATGGCTGGAACTGAACATCACCAAACCTCATCGCCATTTGCTCATTTCACCATCTAGTTTGTAAGCCCCCCTCCCCCAAGTCATAGACGGCCTTCATCAACCGTCGAACTCCTTTGTAAATACTCGCTTCCCCTTCCCTCACCCTGTCCCTCTACGACTTGACCAAAGTACAAAGTTATTGCCCGTTAAGTAGTGTTATGCGAGGGCTAGTATTTTTCCACGCGTTGTCAACGTGAGTGCGAACATCTCTTTTTTATGTGTATTAAATCTGTTTTTTTTTTATTAAAAAAATGAAACAAATGTGCATTTTATTTGCCTTTTTCCAATCACAAAGCAGCCAAAAGCGTGTGAAGCCCCTGTGAATCGGAGGGTAGGCAACCCATTTGACTCCACTGTACCCCTGTGAATCGGAGGGTAGGCAACCCATTTGACTCCACCGTGCGAAGTGCTGCGTACCTCCCAGGCGCTCATTCCCCTGTCGAGCTGTCCCTTTTCTCACGTTGTTTATCTCAATTTTCCTTCGATCCCACAATTTGCTTTTTTTGTGTCCTCATTTCGTGGGTTATGTATCTCAATTTTCCTTCGATTTAGATTTCTAGTTTTCTTTTGAGGCAAGGAATGGAAGGAGAAAAACGCAAAACATTTACTCAAAAGTATAAAATTTATTGCATAATCTCATAAAACATATTTGTATAAAACGCATCAAGTTAACAGTCAAATACTTCTTTCAAAAATAAACTCACATATTTCGCAAATCAGGCAGAAATAGAATAACGTTGTTTCTTACAAAAACTAAGAACAGTCAGGAGACACTTTTATTTACATGGAAATGAAATTCATGCAACGAGGCAACACAAACGCTGCGTTGCAAAGGACTTCTTAACAAACTAATTAATAACTAATTAATCACAGACTAGGCGAGTTATTTACATCCACTTGGTGGCCAATTCTAGGTTACGTCACGAGGACTTCCCTTGGTCACTCAAAGAAAACAAGAGGGCCTTGGTATGGCGACGTCTTTGCCCGTAAGCTAACCCTGAGACTGGTAACGCACCACACGAGTCAAAAATCACAAACACATAAATTACAACAAAGTATTTACAGAAAACGGTCTGAACACATACATCATCTGGGCGAAACGCGGCGTTCCGGCTTGAGATCACTGCTCAGTCGCAGCCGCGGGGGCCGCGCTAACAACTATTCCGAAACTTCCTCCGAGTTGGTTCCTCGGTGACTCTTTCATCACACCTCGACTGACGTGTCCGTCATGGAGGGGAGCTTGCCTCGGCGCGGCGCGCGCGGCGACTGAGGTTCCGGGGCCGGGGAGTCGCTCACGACGTGAGCGCCGGCGACATGATGCTGGGCGTCCACACGTTGGGCGCCTTGCACTTGCCCTCCGCCCACATGGGCACGCTGTTGGAGTTGCCGTCCAGGCAGGTGTCCATGCCCATCATGGCCTGGTGGGCCTGGTCGATGGTGGTGCCGGCGGGCAGGTGCGCGTTGGCGGCGGCGGTGGCGGCGGCCGTGGCGGCGGCCCACTCGGCGGGCTGGTGCGTGCTGCGGTGCTTGGCGAGGTGCGCCTTCTGCCGGAACATCTTCCCGCACACGATGCAGGGGAAGGGCTTCTCACCCGTGTGCGTGCGCATGTGCACGTTGACGGAGTAGTTGTCCTTGAAGCGCTTGTCGCAGAGCTTGCAGGGGTGCAGCTGGCGCTCGGAGCGTTCGCGCTTCCTCGGCGGCGCGGCGCCGGGCTGCGGGGGCTTCCGGTTGCGGCGCCGCTTGGCGGACCGCGAGGTCGGCGTCGGCGGCGCGGGGGTGGGCGTCGACGACATCATGTGCAGGGGGAGCGGCAGCGGCGCCAGCGACCCGGGGAACGGGTCCAGCCTCTGCGGGTAGCAGGGGTCCGGCGACGGCGTCGGGTACGGCGTCCGGAAGACCGGGTAGCTCGGCGGCGGCAGCGGGGAGAAGGGCCCTGGAGTCAGGCCGGCCAGGGCGTCGCCCTGCGGGAAGCACGAGGAGGCCGAGGTGGTGGACACGACGGCGTCGTCGCACTGCTGCAGCGGCGCCAGCAGGAAGGGCGACGCCGGCGAGTAGCAGCTGCGCAGCGAGTCCGCGGGCGTGACGGGCCGCGGGCTGCCCAGCGAACTGCCCAGCGAACCGCCCAGCGAACCACCCAGCGACGTGCTGGACACCAAGACCCCGCACCCCGGCGAGGCCATCGGCGACGGCGACAACGCCTCCTGCTTGACGACGCCCGGGTAGCACGGCGGGGCGGGCAGCGGGGCGGGCAGTGGCGGCACGCCGCACGACGTGAACTTCTGCGCGAAGCCGCCGCCGCGCTGCAGCGCCACGTGCAGCAGGCTGCGGACGCAGCGCCGCTCCGGGCTGGACGCGCTGCTGCCGTCGCTGCCGGTGACCGCGTCGTCGTCGAAGGGGTTGCCCGCGTGCGCGGGGCCGTGCTGCTGCCAGGGCTCCGTGCCCCAGGCCGGCATGCCGCAGGGCAAGCCGAGGCTCTGCATGTCCTGGTCGGGGAAGTAGGCGGGTGGCGGCGGCGGCGCTCCGCCTCCCGCGTCGCCTCCCGCGTCGCCCAGCTCGGTCAGGGTGTAGGCGTCGTCCTGCGCCTCGTGCCAGCCGTACAGGTAGCTGGAGGACGGGTCCGGGTGGCCAGTGCTGCTGCTGCACACCGCGCCGGCGTCCATGTCGCTGGAGCTGAGCCCCGCGTCCGCCAGCACGTAGTTGTCGTACTCGGCCAGCATGCTGCCGCCGCAGACACTCCTGCGCAGAAACGAGAAAGCAATCGTTAGAAAAATACTGGACCCAAACTTCCCAAAGTGCACCCTCTCAAGAGAGACGCAGAAGGTGGTCACGTGCCGCCTCGCCGCCCCCGCACCCTCGCTGGCCAAAGTACGTAGGCACCGCGCTGGAGCCACCACCGGCGGCATGGCGGCAAGGCATCAGGGCGCCCTTCACCCGTTATCGTTGTTTGCGCGCCGACTGTTCGATGCTCGCTCGCCCAGGTCAAGCGACCCCCGCCGCAGCAGTCTGTCTCTCTCGCGCCCAATACGGGACGCCCCATGAGTGCGAGAGAGACGGAGCGACGGCCGAGCCCTGCCAGCCGCCAGGGTGCCATGCTGTGACATCGCTGTGACTCCAAAGTTCACGCGGCTGACTCGAATTTACACCGGACTTTAGCAGTGCACGAGCGCCAGGGTTGGATGACCCCTAACGGCTACACCCCGACCCGCGCACCGCCGCGGTCCCGTGCACCGTTTCCGCCACGCGCGTTAGCTGCGGTCGTCGGGGTCCTCGCCGAGGTCCTCGCCCTGGCCGGTGACGCCGGCCACGGCCAACACCCCCGCCGTCAGCCTCACTTGTTTGCCAACAGAATGGCACCGTGACGTGGAGACAATGGGGAGGCTGGGGCGGGCTGGGCCGGGCTGGGCCCCACACCAGGAAGAGACGAAAATTGCATTTGCACGCGGACGCTGACGCGATGCTACGCGCCAAGGTACAATGACTAGGGGCAGCCCACCTACACCACCACGTACACACCCTGTGTCCGTGCCCGCTATGCGCCGCCCGCGCGGCCGCAGCGATAGCTCTGTCTCTCTCGCACTCCAGGGGCGTTGCGGCGAGGTGCGAGAGAGACAGAGCGCCGGAGCGCTGTGCTGCGCTGTGCGGGCGGCCGGGGGAGAGAAAGTAGGAGACAACGTCTGTCTACGGGAAAGCTTCCGAACGCGCAGCGGGACGTTCGCGACGACGCCACACGGCTCAATCAAACACGACCTCAATGAGGCCATCTCTCTCGCACCGAAACGGGACGCCCCACGAGTGCGAGAGAGACAGAGCGAATCAGTCTGCTGTTCGATTTTGCCCTGTGTTTGTGACGCCCCCGATGCAGCCGCTACTGCCGGTCATACAATCACTGCAGCAGAGGGCTTTTGTCTACGCGTCAAACCAGTCCGTCTATTCAGTGGACGAGCGGGCCGGTGGTCGCAACCCAGTCCCAACGTCGCAACGGGACTGCGGCGGGCCGAGGCGCGGGCGGGGCGGGGCGGGGCGGGGGTGGCGGGTCAGTACAGGTCAAGCTGGCCGTGTCCCAGCTCGGCGTAGCTCGGCCGGGCACCCCGAGCCCCACCCGAGCCTCAATGCCACGCAACCCCTCTGTAACTATAACTGTACCTGAGCGGATCTCTCTGTCTCTCTCTCACTCTCTCTCTGCTTGACGACCCCGACGACAATGAGGACGAGAAGGAGTGACTCAGCCCGGAGTGGCGACGGAAGGGGCGAGCAGCGGCTGACCAGAATGCGCAAGGTTTTGCACGCGTTTTGCAGCGTGTTTACGACGGTTTGTGATTTCACTCAGCCTCGCGACGACGCGGAGAAGCGGTCATCGACCAGAGCCACCCTAGTGTGTGTGTCTGTGAGCGCGTGCGTGCGTGCGCGCGTGTGTGTGCGTCACCCGGTGCGTTGACCGCCCTGATTGGTCGCGCGGATTTCACGCCCCCCCCCCTCCCCCGCACGTCGGGGATGAAACAAATGCGGCAAAAAAGGGCCCCCTTTGTCGGAGAGAGACAAAGCGCACTCCAACTGTTGGCAAACAGAGTCCACCCGTGGGACACCCGTGGGACACCCGTGGGACACGGGGGCACCCACCGCTGTGCTGCCCGGACGCGGAAGGGTAGGCATCCGACGGTGGGCAAAAAAATGACTGCGGCCACCGGGAGTCGAACCCGCGAGCCCCGGACGTCGCGCCTTGAGGTCTGCCGGTGGCGCGTGTCCGCGCCGCGGGGGAGGAGGGAGAGAGGGAGAGAGAGAGGGTGGGAACCGCAGTGAAGGCGGTGAAGGGCACGCGCAAGAAGGGCTGCAGCAGGCTGCGGGGGCACGCGCCAGGAGGCAGGTGCAGTCAACAAGTCGACACACACGCACACACACACAGAAACACAAAGTCACCCTGGTGGTGCTTGCCTGCTTGTCCAGCAGGGAAATCCAGGCTGTTTTGGCTAAAACCCTGCTGATCCAAGACCGCGCCTGAGCCGGGCCGTCCCTGGGCCCATGGGCCGCGGCAGGGCGGCCCGGGCACGCAATGCCTGGCGATGCCACGCACCGGGAAAACCTCCTCCTTGACCTGCCCCAACACGACGGGGCGCGGCGGCGCAGCGCACCGCAGCAGTGCTGCAGTCCGCAGAGGATAACACGCACTTTGGCGATGCCAGGGCCGATACAGTGCACAGCGCACAGCGCCGACGCAACGACTGTCAACGACTCGCCGGACGCGCGCAATGCACTGTGAGTTCGTCTCGGCAATCAGGGCCTTGTGCGTGTCCAAGTCCTAACAGTGCGCCGCCAGCCCCGCCCGGAAATCCACACACCGCCAGGGAAACCCAGGGAAACCCGTCGAGGGCCAGGGCCAGCCCTGGGCCCCGGCAGGCGCCCCGCCACGCCGCGCCACGCCAGCAACCGACAGCCCTGGCTAATTCCACCGCATACCACGCAATCCAGGCCACGCGGCCCGCCGCCGCGCCCTGCCGAAGGCTGCCCACCCTGCCCGACGAGCACGTCACCACGGCGACGACGAGGACGCGACGACGACGCGGTCCTGGGTTCGAATACGGCGCGTGTGTGGAGTCGGCTCGGCTGCGCGTTTCGGGGTGGTGAGAACCAATGAGAACGCGCTGCTCCACGACGACGTCATAAAACCGAGGAGGCCGTCAACCCCGCGCCGTGTGCTGCGCTGTGCGGCAGGCTGCACTGCAAGGCCTCCAAGGCCGTCGAAGGCCACGAGGGTCGTTACCATTAGCCAGCACGGCCTTGGGGCTCTCGGACGCGGCGGCGGCGCGGCGACGCGGCGAAAAGGGACTTTTATCCTTCATCCCGCGGCGCGAGAGGGACCTCGAGCTTTGCCAAATGCTGGCAAATAAGACGAATCTCTGTCAAAAGCCTATATGGGACGCGCCATGGGTGCGAGAGAGACAGAGCGAAAATTTTTAGGAGAGCCAACGCATTGAAAGACTCGTTCAACGAGCCAACCCCCGGTCCCGCTCCCACGCCCCCCTCCCTTCCCATTTCTTTATTACGTATTTCCATAAAGAGGCAGGTCGGCGACCCTACAATGTCAAATGGCAGTCTTGTCCTTGTCACTCGCCAGCCTTCGGCGTGATTTTTTTCTTCTTTGGCGGCTCATTTTTTTCCGGGCTGGGTGCGCTGTGCGCTGGCCGCGCGCGCGTGGCCGTTTACAATCGAAAGGAAAACCTTGCCAATAAAACTTGGGCCAAGTAAAAAGGACATTTTTTCTCGATTCTACACAGATTCGTCATCAGCGCGCGCAAGGCCAACGAACTCGGGGCTGGCATCGTAAAACAGCCGAAGGGAGAAAATTAAAATTGAGCCGAGAAAAAAGATGGACATAAAACGAGCGAAAGCGAGAGGAGGAGACTTGAATGGCCGAGGGGGTCGAGGGAGCGAGAGATAGGTCTGCCCTTCCCTTTCACCGGGGCATCCCTCTCTCTCGCACCTTCGCGCTAATCTTGATCTTTTGTTGTTGTTTTTTTCTCCGCCCGCCGCCCAAATCAATGATGATCTCCGAGTTAGGTTATCGTCATCCCTCTTGTTCTCGAGATAGCGCGCGGAGGCGCGGACGGGCCGGCGCATGAGTGCGAGAGAGACGGCGCCAGGGCGCTCCGTCCGCGCGCAACCCCAGTGGGGTTACCCTGGGTTACCCCTCCGGGGGACAAACAGACGACTTCTGGCGAGAAAGTGCGTAAACAAGGCTGGGTGCTCGGCGTGCTCGGAGGGCGTTGAGCCTCCTCACTGTTGTTTGTCATCGCGACTTGCACAGATGGAGGAAATTACCCAGGACCGTTTTAGATGCACAGCTGCGACATAGCCTCGCCGCGCAGATAACAAAAAACAGTAAAATGAAAAAAACCCTTTGGCTCAAACTAAGCACTCTCCCTCAAAAAGAAAGTACAATGGCTCCAAATAACAACCCCCGCTCCGGGAAGTCCCCGCTGCACGAAGTGGGTTTCGGGTTCAAATACCGCCAGCAGAAAAATGGGAAAACATTCCACCGTCACCAAGAGTCGCAAACAGTCTGTAGACACGAAAATCGGTGCAGAAAACGGTCTTGGAAATTCAAAATCCAACCTTAGCGCGAAAAGAAAAATCTGGAGTTCTGGAGCGCGGGCATCCCACTCGGCTTAGATTTTGGTGGATGCCTTCTAGGAAGAGGGGCGTTCGGGTCTCGACTTGGAAAAGAACACTTGGTGCAGCACAAAACGATGACAAAATTTGACTCACCTCGAAAAAATGAAAACTGCCGTCGGGTCGTCCTGATGCTGCAGGGGCAATCCCGCCGCAATAAAATCCAGCTGGCTTCGAAACACACTCGGACACACACACGCGCACACACGCACGCACGATCGCCTTGCTGACACTCGACGACGTCGCTCGTCTGCCACCACGCACGCTTCACTTGCTTCGCTTCGCTCCTCCGACCCGCGCCGTCCGTCCTCGAGCCCTTCCCGTCGAAGAGTCACCGGCCCTCCGAAGCCCCCGAAGCCGAAGGGCGGCAGGGCGGCGGCCGAGGGAGGGCCCCGGCCCCGGAGGGCTCCGGCAGGGCATCGTCCGCCTTGCAAGGGATGCAGCGCGGTGGTGGGGGCAGCCGGGCAGCCAGCGTCTCGAGTCCCGAGCGTTCCCGGGGCAGGGCGGCGGCAGGGGGAGGGAGGAGGGGAGGACGGAGATGACCACCTCCCCTCCGCCCGTCCTCCGCCCACCCACGCCAACGCGGGGCGCAAGCCGACTAGCTGACAACGTGAACATCAACCCATGTCCTATTTTGAAAAACTTGAAATTAGAAAACGACTTGCCGTAGAGACACCCTTGAGGCCTTTCTTGAATCTCGGACTTGGATGCTGGACTTGTCCCGCCTAGAGCCAACTCTCTAGACCTGTCGTTCGTGGATTCGAGTACCGGCATCGGCGAACGCGTCCTCTGGCGACCTGCACGCGGAGGGCCGCGGTTCGACGCCGCACCTCGCCGCTTTCTTTTTGGAGTGGAGCGAGGTTGACGTGGGTTCATCACGCGAGTGGAAATTTTTGCGAGCTTTCCGTAAAGTGGTTTGGATTCTCTGGTTTCCCGAGTGAGTCAGGGCCTCCACGCCGCGTCGCTCCGCGCGCCCCGCGTCCTTGGGGACGGCTCAGCTCGGGCCGCCCCGCCCCGCCATTGTCGCGAAAACGGAGCCATTTCCATATAACACGGCGACCTTTTCGGCGAACGACCCTGCGCTGTGCGCGCCACTGTGTGCACGCCCCGTAACGCGCAAGGCCTTCCTTTGACTTTGGTCGCGCGTCGGCGGGGGTGGGGGTGGGGGTGGACCCTTTACCTGTCCGTGGCGGGCCCTGGCTGGCCCGCGCGCGCCCCTCAGATTTATGACAAGTTGTTTTGTGCACGGGTAGTCACAATAGCCCCCCCCCCCTTTTCCCCCTTTTCCTCGCCGAACCCCTTCCGCGTCATCTCAAGGCCGAGTGCCTGGACCAACTCAGGGGGAGGGGGGGGGGGGACTTCATATGACCTTGGAGGAGGGGTCATCGTACAGAGGCAAATTGATTGCCGTGTGGGGTTATTGCCTCCGCTGGCAACGCAAACTTCTTGATTTACTTTCGGATATTACAAGGTGTTCTGTATTACAACCGGTTTTTAATTTACTTACAATGCACAAATAAATAGAATATTTTACATTTAACATTTTCTAAAAAATAAAATAAAATAGTTTTCACCTCTAATAAAAATATCACAAATCAATTCTGTTTCTGAGAAATTTTCTAGTACATTTGTAAACGCAGCATCAAAGCTTTCAAAAGCCTGGCTTCATATGTTACTGTTTTGCGTCCTTGATAGACGCTGAGGTCTTCAAGAGGGGCCTCGACAATAGTTGGAACATCACGGCCATGTGCCTCACACTGTTCCAAGAATTGGATACAATCTTGAATTACTGAATCCCTTACAACCATCATATGCTTTGCCAAATTTTCTATCAATGATAGAAAACAGCGTTTAGCATAAAACCTGAAAAAAAAAATATTTACAATCTCTGAACAATTTATAAATTTTACTGAGGTAGATAATGGAAGAAAAACTCACCAAGTATCAGTTCCCAACTTTTTGTGATATGGCTCCAAGCTTTTGATGACTCTTGAAATACCAAATTCAAAGTTGCCTTTGGAGCAGTACAGTGTTCCAATCACCAAATTAACTATACAGAGGTGAAACAATTTTTTGTCTGGTTCTTCAAAAGATAATTGTTCCTCTTCCTTCTCTATTTTTCTCATCATCTCCTCAGCTTCTTCATTTTGTGATGTCATTATGTAGGAGACACACAAATTTGCCAACACAACTGCACTCACATTCAATATCTATTTTGGAAACAAACAAGTCATTATTTTGTTTTTAAATGGATTATCAACACTGAGAGGCCATACTCACATTGTCATAGTGCTTCTTCACTATAGGCTCATAAAATCCAGTAGCCTCCTTAAATTTTGTTTCTTGCATAAACAATACATGAGCTACATTTAATTTCCATGTGTCGTTATCATTGCAAAACTCTACTGACTTTCTGAAAATTTTCTCTACTTGAGCATAATTTTCACGATCCCAATAAATTCTTGCCTGGGCCATTAAAACTGGTATGTACCTTCAAAAATTTAATTTCTTGGTAAATTGATGAGATATTGCAAACTTACTCCCGAGATGGATAGTAAAAGAGCCCTCTTACCTTTCTAGAGTATCTTCATACTCCGTGACAACTCTTTTGACTGCTTCATCATCATGATTTTGACGTGCTTCTTGTACTCGCTTTGTGAGTTTTCGAAGAGCTTCAGTGTGTCTTGATGCTATATCATCAAGTTTTCGGTAGGCCTCTTCAGGAGCAGAATGTTGGAGCATCAGTGCATCGAGAAAATCATATAGGTACTACAACAGAATGATAGAGATAATATACAAACTTTAAAAATCTGACTAATAAGAAAGGTTTTTTCACTCACAGTTGAAAGATATTTCGGTGTTAGATGCTGATAGTCTGCGAGAACATCTGCTGCAAGGTGGTGATATTCATACTGACAATAGAGTAGTAGAAGATTCGCCAATGTTTCTGGAGGAAAAGGATTTTGCTGCAGCAAGAATTGTAATTTTTCAAATCCTTCGGAAGCTCTGCTGTCCATATTCATCAAAGCCTGATTGTGAAGGGTGACTGCATCCAGTTCTTCTTCTGCTCTTGGTGGCATGTCTGTCAGTGCTTCTCTAGCTGCCTCATCTGCAAAAAGAAAAAAATTCTGTCAGCTTTTAAAATTACTCACTATAAAATAAATTTTACATAAAATTTTTGAGGCGTCCTTACAGTTTTTAAGTTGGTACTCAATAGCTGCTTTTAAATTAAATGCTTCAATCAGAGCTGTATCATGCAATGTGAGTGTATTGCCCACACTTCTAACTTCAATTCCTTCTGTAGCCATGCCGACACTAAGTTCAGGATGCTCACGGATACCTCTCTCAATTATGTCAGCTAAAAGAAAATTACATTAGGCATCTAAACACGGCAGACTTGAAAAAAAAATTCACTGTACCTACCAATGTGCTTTAGAGCGCTTGTGTACTCATGGAGACGATAGCAGCATAGTGCTGCATTGTAAGATAAATGAGGAGTGTATCCAAGCATTTGCTGAGCAACAGTGAACTTTTGAAGAGCATCTTCATACCGTCCTTCCTAAAGAAAAACAAAAGATATTTTTTAAATAATTTTTCTTTAAAACATTATGAGGTAAAATTAATTTTATTAGGAACTAACTTTAAATAGTAAGCATCCAAGATTGACATCTGTGTCCGGATCATCAGAGGGACAGCTGTCCACAAGGCTTTTGGCCCCCGCCAAATCTTCTTCCCCATATCGAATGGCAGCTTTTAGCTTGGTGACCTGCAAATTTAAAAATGGAAAAGACTAATTCTAGAAGTAGAACACAACTACAAAAAAGTTACTAGCAAATTTATTTGTTGTACCCTTGCTTGGAAATCAGGATGCTCTATTTGAGCGGTAACTTTCATTGCTTCTTGGTATAAACATGCTTGATGTAAAGCCTGAGCATAATATAGGCGATACTCAACGTGTTCAGGTAAAAGCAATGTCAGCTGTTCATAACAATTGGCAGCGTTGACAAAATCTTGTGAGTGGAAATAGCTGTAAGCCAACAAGGAGAGACCAGCACGAGACTGAAAGTGAAAGTCAGATTGTCACCAAGTAAGAATAAAAAGGTCTAGAAAAAAATATGAATTTTTTTTTATTTTTTTTGAGAGAAACTAACATTTCTGTTGGTTTCAAGGATACCATTGAGAACTTGAATGGCATCAATATACCGCTGTTCCTTTATCTGAAATTGAAAAGCTTAAATGAAAGGTGACACTTCAGGACCTCCACAAATAGTGCAATCCCTCAGACGTACCATCGAGTACACGGTTTTCGTATACTCCCCATCCTTTATAGCTGACCCTTGATACATGTTGGGTGCGGCGAAATTGGTTGTCACAAATGAAATGAGTACGCACAAGCCGCACACACCCACTCTTGTCCGCCCGCGTGTTTGTTGTGGTGTCGTGGTTGCCAGGCAACGAACGTGAATCGAAACAACGCACGAGGCGAGGCGGCGTGGCGATTGGTCCGCGGCAGCGAGCCGACGCGGGATTGGTCGGCGGCGCCGTGCCTCCCTTCCCTCTCCCACCCACTCCACACTCCACCCACACCCTCGGCCGTCTCGCTTGCACAGCTTGCACAGCTTGCACCTCCAGTATCGCCAGCCAGGTGGAGGAACGGGTCGGCCTAGCGGCCCCGTCCCGTCAGTGCTCCGCGTCCTTCGGCTTGGAAACATTTCAAACGCTTCCAGTGTGATGGTTCCGTTCGTCCGCGCTCTCCTCTTGCCCGCCATGGCGAACGCCCCGCGATCCCCGCGTTGCTGAGCCGCCGGCTGTCAACGAACGACGCGCCCGAACCGAATCGCAGCTGGATCCGCTTCTAGGTAACCCTAGGTTTCATTCGAAAGTGGCGACCGCAGCGCCAGGGCCCGGAGCACACTCCACCGCACGGGGGGGATGTAACTCGAAGCGGCGGGGGTCTCGCGCCCCGTCGCCCCGCTTCAGCCGGGGTGCGTGTTTTACAGTGAACCAGCGCGGTCGCGTCGAGACTCGTGTCCAGGCCGACGTGACTGCCGCGCGTTCAAATCCAGATGGCTACAGTGTTTTTCTTGTGTGTGTTTTCGTGATAACGCTGAGCCGCGGATAGCCGCGGGGGGGGGGGAAAGCAGTTGGGCGGCGGGTTGGTGGCCTACCCTCACGGCGGCAGAGCGGCAGAGCGCTGCGAAGGCGCGGCCGGCTGGTTGCCTACCCTCACGGCGGCGGGGAAGGACAGCCGAGTTGGCGCCAACGCCATGCCGCGGCCGCGCTCTGCCGCTCCGCCGCCGAGACGCGCCGCGCGGTCCCCGCCGCTAGCCGTCGCTCGAGCACAATGTGGCGGTGTCTCTCGGATACTGCTGGTCAACAATACTCGGCGGCCGAGACGGGAGTGTGAGAGAGAAAGAGAGCCTCCGACGCGGCCTGCTCGGCCTGCGGGCTTCCCTTGCTGGCGGTGCTGGCGCGGGCCGCGGACATGGGGCGACAGGTGGAGGCGGTGGAGGCCCGCCGGGCCCGCCCTCACGGCGACGTCCACGTCGTCAGGTACACCACGGCCAGCACGGCGACTCTTTCATCGCCAGTGTGTACACTGTGCACTCGCCGCGCTCGCCCCTCCGCCGCAAACTCCGCCATCGATCCGCGAGGCGTGTGCATTTGGCAGCGAGTCAGTAGGCTGATTCCGCACGCGTTTCGCCACTCCGTCTCCCTCGCACGGCGTCACACCCCCGCGGGCCGCGAGAGAGACTCGGCGACGACAGCACTGTTCGGAATCAGGCTAAAGGCTCTATTCGCATCGCGCGCGGGTTTTGCCCGTCGTAGTGTCGGGGGCCCCGCGCCCCGCGGCACACTTGACCCGCATCTAAAAGCGTCCCTGTCCTCACCCCGCGCCGCCACGCCCGCCACGCCACGCCCCGCCAGCGGCCAGACAGGCCGCCACACCCGTCGGACGGACGGTCGCCGAACTCGAAAATATTTACCCGCCCCAAGTGTGTTTTCTTGGTCGCGCGCCGCGGCACGAATCCGGCGGGGTGCGCGGCGCGGTGCGCGGGCCGTGAGGGCAGCAGGTGCTCGTTGATGAAGACTCCCCTTCGCTTCGCGCCTTGCGCCAGGAATTAAAAGCTCGTTATTGGTGCTAGATCACGGTGGCGGCGTGGCACGCCGTGGCGGGGGACGACGGGGCGCTGGCAGTAGATGGCAGGGGAGGCTCAGAATCTCGAAATCGAAATGGCGTTGGCTTTGCTATCATCGCACCCCTGGGCGTGGCGGCGTAGCGGGGAACGGCCACGACCTCCCAAAGGGCGCCTTTGAAACCAGTTTCAAGTATAAACATGGTTCACTACGTTGGACGCGGACTCGGCACAAAGGGAAACCCGCGAACGGCATTCGCAAGCAAGTAATTGCGTTTTGTTTTCCCGCCCCGTTTTCCGATTTGTTTGTTAATTATACAGGTAATTACCGCGTCGTGCATCCCTGTCGTCGTCGCGTTGCCTTCCAGCCGTGCCGTGCCGCGGTCCCTGGCCTCGCATCGCGCATCGCGCAGCCCTTGAGGGGCGGGAAGGGTGGGAAGGGAAAGGGCGGTGCGTGACGCCCCCCCGCTCCCCCAAGGTGGTCGTGTTCCCCGTGATGGCCGGATACGGCTGGCCTTGTCGGCCGTCTCCTCGAGCTGCCTCGTCTTTCTGGTCGCTTTTGTCGCTCTGTCTCCCTCGCACCCGTACGGGCCGCCCCATGAGAGCGAGAGAGACAGGCGATGAGAACGTCTCTCGGAATATCGGTCTGCAGTGTGACTTCTACCGTGACTACCGCGACGGGCAACGATCAGTCAGCAGTCCGCTGGCATGAGAGAGAACCCTGTCACTATCCCATGCGCGTCGCGGCGTCGCGTTCGCCCGGAAGGTACCAGACCCTTGCGCCACGTCGGGCAGAGTCAGCGCGCGCAGGGAAGTCCGCCTTCGCCGGCCCCCTTCATGCGCGGGTACAGTGTAGTACAGTAACCGCTGGCGCGACGTGGGTCAGGATTTGCTCTGGCGCGGTGCGCGGTGCGCCGCAAGAAACCGACGCGGCAGGCATGCCATGCGAGCGGCGCAAACTTCGGCCAACTCTAGATCAAGTTTGGTTAGGTTGTGTCTGACGGCTAGATCGTTACGGACTGCGGGGGGTGGGGTGGGGGCTGTGTTACCCTTTGGCCGCGGGCTCCCCTACCGGGCGCTGCCAGGGCTGCCAGGGCTGCCAGGGCCACTACGCACAACACCTCGCCTCACCCCCGGGCCGAGGGCCGAGGACGGAGGGCGAGGCCAATGATGGCGTGGCGTGGAGTAGCTTCGCTGCTTCGCGTGATAGGGCATTCACTTTCCCGAGTAGCGCCGTGTAGCTCTGTAGGTGAGGTGGCGGCGGCGCCGCCCGCGGTACACACACACAAAAGAACAACAACAAAACGAAAAAGAATATCCATCGACCTTTCCATTTTTCTCACGACTCCTTGTCTCGGGAAGCACGTGCGCGGAACTGGGTTGTGTTGGGACTGGCACTGAATCGGGAATCGGGGCGCATAATTATTTCCGCGCGTTTGACTGATGTCCGGGGAGCTGTAGGGTGGAGTGGCGCAAGGCGCGCAAGGCGCAGGAGCGCCGCCGCCGCCAGGTCCCTCGCCACCGGGTTTACCTGTTTACCTTGCGCTCATGCAACAACTCAATTTGTCTCAAGCATATCGAGTCGACAGGCCCGGCTTTTTATTCCATTCCCCCTCTTTCCTGGAACTTGCAGCGCTCCACCCCCGCCGCCTTCGCTCTGTCTCTGTCGCACTGACGGGGCGCTCCGACGGAGTGCGAGAGAGACAGGGCGACGAAAAGCACCGTTCGGTGCCCGCCTGCAGCCGGCATTATCACCCCGACGCCTCCGCCCGGCCCGCGTGCCCCCGGTTCATTTCCGACTCGGATCAACATCGCGCCGCCACCAGGACGCCGTCAAGGGGACGCCGCCAAGGGGACGCCGCCGTCCCGCCGTCCGATTCATGATGTACAACTTGGCATTCTTCCCTGGGGCCGCGCGGGCCGCTGGTGCCGCGCTAGAACCGCGGCAAGGGCTGTGATGGTGTCGATGGTGCACCCCGCGGCGACATCGACCAGGACGTCACTGCCCCTTCAGGGTTTTGAATCTGACAACTCTGTGTTCCTTTGTTCCAGTGGCCGGGCCACCCGAGCAGCGCCGACGACTGTGCCTCTCCCATGAAGAATTCAGCATTCGGTAAGCGTGTTGAATTGAATGGCGCGGGTGGCCAGGCTTTCCCTGCTGCTCGGTCGATCCACTGTCACGCTGTCACGTGGCGCGTTCTCTCTCGCACTCCTTTGGCCGTCCACAGTTCACACGGAGTGACGAGGACAGCTATAAAGCGTTCCGTGGGGGGTGGTTTTGAGAAGTAAATTATTCACGAGGGCGCCCTCAGCGGGCACGCCCCCGCCGCCACCGCGGCACGTCACTGGAAGCCCCAATTAGAAATTATTTCATTTTTCGTGCCCCTCACCCAACCCTGTGACCTCGTTTGGTCTTTTATTGACTGATTTTCATTTGGCCACAGCCGTGAACCCATGTCCGAGGGACCTGCTGGGCAAACAGTGGCTCTTCATGCACATGTCGGCGCACTACCGGAAGATGTTCTCGGCGCAGAGCGTCGTGGACTCGGCGGCCCCCGCCTCGATGAAGGCTAGGACCGCCACGCCGCGCTCCGCCAGGTAAGCGTCTGGAAGGAAGGCGGCTAGAACGCCTCCCTCCCCCTGTCCCTCTCTCCAACCCCCGGCGCCGCCCCCAGGAGGCCGCACTCTGCCGTGGACTACTCCGAGGGCCCCCGCCTCCCCAGGGCGACGTCTACTCCGCGAGCGATGCCCAAGCCCGCCTCGGCCGGCGCGGCAGGCGCGGCGCCCTCCTTGGCCTCGGGGGCGATGGCGATCGGGGCGAACGGCGTGGTGCTGCAGGGCCTGCAGGCGCTGCACCGCCAGGCCGCCAAAGCCCGGACGCCGCAGACTACGCCCCGCCGGTCCTCCACCCTGTTCAGGCACGACCAGCAGACTCATTCCGAGAGTCGCTTTCGTCGCGCTGTCTAGCTCGCGCTCCTTGAGCGTTCCCTAATAAGGCGCGAGCGAGAGACAACGAAAACGACTCCCTGAATCAGTCGGCTGCGACCTACCCCCTAAAAGTGCGCGTTGGGTGGCCTAGCGGCGCCGTGGCCCCTAAGGCGCGGGTAGGCAACCCATCGTGCATCAGCCCTCGCCGCAGCGTCTTAGCGTCGCAGCCATTCAACATTCAACCTGGTTGCAGCAAGCCGGTGCGGCTCAGCCAGAAGCCCTCCCGCGCCGACACGGACCCCGGCCCAGGGACAGGCAGCACGCGCCCCAGGGGCGGCGCCAGGGACACCCTGGACGGCAGGGCGTCGTCGGCGTCCACGTCGCGCCGCCAGATCGACTACGGTGCCAGCGTCCTCCGCAAACCGGCCAGCCTGGCGCGGCCCCGGCACACCAGTCGACGGGACCCGGAGCCAGGCACCTACTACGACGTGAGCCGCCGTCCGCCTGCGTTGCCCGCACCTGTTTACTCGCAGCACTTCACAAGTCGCCTCCATTTCTGGTTGCAGAAGTTGAACCAATTGGTCCCTGACCAACGGTCCAGCCTTCGAACAAGTGGCCAGTTCCTGTCGGAGGTCTTCACTCACCGAGTGCCGCACAAGCCGCAGGTGCTCAGGACTGAAGTGCCAAGCCGTTTGCGCTTCAGTAGCACCTACTGCCCTCCGCGCACCAAACCCCTCCATTCGGTAAGTCAATTTATTATTTTTCTTAAATTCTGACTTGCTTCAGATGTCTAAGCGTCACTCTGATTTGTTCAGAAGCCAGGTGTTCAAGGGCAAGAAATTGGAACAGATGCAGTTCGACCAATGTGGACCGCTTCCAGCCCCCCTGTATGTATTCTGATTGGATGGGATAAGCTGTTTCATGATTGAAATAAACCAAAAAACTATTTAACTTTTGTATTTTAGGTTTCAAGTCGTGATTCAGCATACAATGGCGGAATATCTTCTGGGGGAGAAAGCAGAGGCCCCACACCTGACCAAGCAGGAGTCAAAAAACATTCTAAAAGGTCTGAAAAAAAAGGAAAGAAGAAAGCTGATCCAAAACGACCATATTCAGCTGACACAAAAATTCGTAGAAAAGTTGAAAATAAGTTTATGAAGAAACTTTTAGAAGATGAACGAAATGAATTGCATGAGCAAAGACTACGTGTTGATCCTTGGCATGGAATAAACCAAGATGATCATGGTGATGCGATTTTACGGAATATTGATGATTTGCACATTGAAGACCATGTAGATGACAGCTTAACAGAACATGACAGCACTGCAAACACAGACAGTGTGTCTGGTCAGTCAATTGAAGAGGACATGGTAGAAGAAGTGGATGAATCTGTCGAAGTAGAGAGTACTAAGGAAGCCAATGGGGAGGACTCTGTAATAACGGACAAAAGTTCTGCAAGTGTTGCTGGTACCGAAGGATCTGTACCCAGTCAATCTCTTGCCAAGTCTTCGCCTTCTCCCAACATGCAACAAACTTCCACCCAAACGGATCCTCCTGCTCAAAATAATGACCCAAAAGTGTTGTCCTCTGGATCCCAATATCCTTCTCCCACTCATTCTGGATCTATTTCAACCAAGCAGTCTATGTCACGGAGCTCTACCAGTGGGTCATCAAATAAATCCTTATCGACTGAAAAAAATAGGGAGACAAAGAAACCCCAACTAGAAAGTAAAGTTATTAAGGAAGTGTCTGCCTCTCTCTCTTCTGCTAAAGAAAGCAACTCAAAAAAAGATGAGAAGCTGGAAAATAATCAATACTTAGTCAATAACAGGTAATACAATTTCTAACATTTTTAAATTGTTGTGCTCATTTAAAAAAAAATTAAATTATTATTTTAATTTTAGGCAGAATGATATGTCATATGCACGACTGGTGAACATGATAACCAAAGATGTGCTGGAAAGGCGGGTTGTGACCTATAAAGCACTTAAAGCAATATGTGATGAGCATATTGAAGCCAACTGTGATAAATTAGACAAGGTGAGACCAATCTTTTTCATTTTATTAAATTTGATCAAATATTGTTTTTAAAGCCACAACTTGAAATTGTATTTTGTGATTTCAGGAAAGAATGCAACAAGAAGTGGACAAGCTGCAAATTCAGTTAGAAATTCCAAGAGATGATCATGTAGATTGTCTGAACTATGTTGCTGACCTTCCTAAAAGGGAAAAAATACCATTCACATCAAAGTTCATTCCTTCACTTGTTGATGTGGACAGATTTGCACTTTTAAGTGGACCACCTCCTATGGCAGAAGACTCACCTTTCAGGTCAACTGGATTGCATTCACAGAAATTGATTGGCGCTCTTGATTCTTGGAAAAAGCCCCTCTTTGTGAATGCTGAAGATTCACCGTTACAACATGAGAATTTAAAGCTAGATAGAGTGAAAGAAAATACATTTTTCTCTGCAGATCCTACAAAAACAACTTCATCACCCTCACTCATTGACCCAGTAGAAACTGTGAATGACGTGAGCCCACCCATGCAGAATGATCAGATATCAAGTTTTACACCACAGAGTTATGGTGCTCAATTTTTAAGAGACAATTTCAACAAAGCAGAGAAATTGTTGGATGTTGCAGACGACTCGAAGAAGTTGAGTAGTCCTGTAATTTCGACAAAAGGAATAGAATCTTTTAAATATTTGAAATCTTCGCCTCTCTTGGAGAATGAATATTTAAATCACCTTCCAGCATCAGCAGATGACTTCTCTGTAATCCCCAACACAATGGAGGGGCAGAGTACATCTGGTTCCACAGCAAATGCTGTACCTTGTGCTTGTAAAGAAAGGAAGTGTCGATGCTGTGCCTCAGATGACTTCGAATCTTACTGGAAAACTTACATGGAAAAAAGTTCGACAATGCAGTTGTTTACAGGCCTGTCTTTAGGTCACTTGAATGATTGGAATGAGAGAGCCAACTTAAACATTGAAATGGAAAATAGCATTAAAGAAATAGAAAAGGAGCTACGACAAACAGGCTTTCACAGAGAAGAAGTGAGCACACCTGTTATTGCAGAAAGAGATGAACCAGAGGTAGTTGAACTCTTTCATTCTGAAAAAGTGAGAAGTGCTGCCAGTGAGCATAATAGTCTCACAAGTACTATCCAATCTGCCATCAAGGATAAATTTGACTCTGCTCCTCTAGAAGATAAAGGATCTCCTGATATCACCCATGAACAACCTAATGCAGATGGCACAATAGACAGTAAGTCAAAGCTACAGAGTAACCCTCTCATAGAAAACTCATCATCAATCCCTTTTGGAACTGGACAAAATTCAGATATTCTTAGATTGAAGCTGTGGTAATTTTTATTGTTGTTCCCATCCCAAAAATTAACATTTGAGGTGGTTTTGTGTGACTAATAATTGTTGAATGAATTGTAATCATTAGTTTATATGACTAATGACTGAGCCTGAGTTTCAAATTCCTTACTTCTATTATAGAGAAATTGTGAGGAACAAAATTTCTAACTCAGACAAAATTTTATGTTTAATCCAGTGATTGTGACTAATTATTAGTGAAACTGTGATTCCCTACAACCTGTAGGTCTATTCCAAATGTGAAGTACAAGTGGTAAATAAAAACCAAACAAAGAATATTTGCTTACAAGAATTTATTGTAGTCATCTAAACTATTTTCCAAGCTTTACAAATCATCTTCAGTGAAATCAGTAAAATTAACCCGCATGATGAGTACATGTAAATGAAAACAGCACAAGGCATGTTAAACTTGGCAAGAATGTGTCCCTCCTCAACAAGCAGTATACAGTATATATAATGATAGTGCTATATCACATCCGAACAGTCAAAAGCGTCTTGCGCTTTACCAATATTGGCCTTCGCAACATACAACTTCCTCGTATTAATGCTCCAATTTTATTATAAAATAAAAGGAACCTAACAAGATCTTTACATATATTTGATACTACTATAACCAGTGCAGTTAATTGCTTACTTCAAAGCTGCCCTATACTTGTCAAACTACAAACTAAAAAACTAGTAAGCAGGCAGTTTCATGCCTTTCATCAATAGGAACAATTAACACAGTCCAAAAGCTAAGTTCAATTACGCACAGGTGATGTTTGGATAAAATTAGTTTTGCAGGATTGAGCCAGAGACTACAATAGGAGATAAGATAAAATGAGCCTAGGTCATATTTTTTGCCAGTTTATATGAGCACAGATAACATTGCTCCAACTGGATAAGTACCCCAAGCTTCTATAGATTTATTGACATTTTGAAATGCTTAAGCAACCTTTGACATAATACTGTAACAGACTGAAACTACAACTAATGGAAATTCCTCATGCGTTACAAGTAATATAGACAAAACCACTACCCTCAGATGACATACAATCTGACACTTGCCACAATTGTAAATAGTGGTATGACTCAACAAGCACCCCCAGCATGTAACAATGAAATAGAAAAATATGAAACAAAGTTCTTAAGTAATGGATCATACTTTGAAAGAAACAAAAATTTCAGTCACCCTCAATGTAACATGAAAATAAAGTACCGTATAACTTGAAAGGTATATATGGGACATGGATACATGCCAATATTGGTACAAAAAAATAATGTCTCACTAATATCAAATAACACAAGTTTAAGCGTAAAGTACAGTTAGGTTTCACTCCCACCTGCTAAAACATCAAAGAAAAGCGAGTTCAAAACTAATTGAATTGAAAAAAAATATGAGCAGTTCAGATTCTGATATGCGAGTGGAGGTTTCTTGCATTGTTACATTTTATTACTCTTTTAAAATAAAATTCAGTAGTTTAATGTGGCACTACTGAAAAATTGACAAGACCATGCAAGACAAAACATTACCACAATAAGATCTAAGGTGAAGCAAACCTAAACCCTAACATACTATGGACTAAGAAGCCATCTCTAGAACTAAAAGTATCATGAAAAGGAGATGACATTGACAGTGCACTTGCCACAAATTACTTCAATTTACTATGACCGTTTTATGAACAGAAGATAATGACAAAATGACTTCCATAGCAGTTTTCCATGTGCATGGTAATAGAACCACAAATAGCATGGTATTACAACAAACAAAAGAACTTCATCTTGACCAAAGTCCACTTACTCAATAAACTCTGTTTTACTAACAAAAATGTGCAATCAACAGTGGTAACCCAATACCATGTGATACAATTGAATTGATTGATTGATTGATTTAGTCACGTGAAAGCTAGCACTAATCTAATCTTAACTTCTGAAGACCCTTGATGCACAGCCTTGATTCCTACTTCCCTTATGATAAAATTGATGAATTTAAGAAATGAGCAGTAATAGTCTACATGTCACAACTCAAGTTGATTAGATATTAACAATAAGTAGCATACAATCCAGAATAATGAAAGTTACTCATATGATTATTCCACATTAAAAAGTGATATAAGAAATAAAGTGAAGATTCACAAGTTCATGTAAAGGAATGAAAAATACGTTAGTTAAAGCGTATTGGCTTCAGATACATGACTAGGCTTGAAACAGAATTCTTTTAATTAAGTACAGTAACACCATCACATTCAACACAGGTACAACAATACAACTGGCCTGTACATATATGTATGTGGCACACAAGTGGTAACAGAAGTGAAAGGGGAAAAAAAATTTAGAAGAGGCAGTTTGAAGTGCAGTTGACATAGACCTTGTATATAGACAAGTATATATACAGACTAGTTCTCAAATCAAACATATCAAACGTTAAAAACAACATGGAGGGAGAAAACATCAAGATTAAGGTGAAAATACGTGCTCTCTGGACTAAAGTGAGTATGCACTTAGTAGTACTCTTGGTCAAAAAAAAAATTTCATACTTGTAGTTCCAGTGTTTAATTTGTGCTTAAGAATTGTCTCAATCGGTTTGGGACGTATGTGAATTCCTATAACAAAATATAACTATGCTAGAACAGATACTTGATCCATGCTTCTTTCTACTTAATCAGGGCAAAGTATTGGTGAAAATTCCCACTTGAATAAATCTGCGAGCCTCATCCAAGGACAGTCAATGATAGCTTCGTTAAAAATGTTTAACACTCTCATGCAGTGTTGATCATAAGTCACAGGTTAACTTAATTTCCTGCCTGATTACATGGGAATAAAGATGAATGAAGGAGTTTAAATTGACAATATAATGACATCCTCACCAATGTTGCTGCCTACTTAGCTTGTCATGGGTATACAGTTAAAACTTAACTGGTTAAGAAATAAAGATATGGATAGAACAATACACTTAAAAAATTATTAAGGTAAAAAATAAATCGAAAAGTTTGAAGGTAAAATAATGGAATGACTCTCTATCATTAGGAACCATTAAAGTCTATTCAAAATTAATGAAAACTCTGTAAATTTATATATGTAAAATAAATCTATATGCCCGCATATAGAACTGTAATATTCATGTCATATCTCCCTTTCAAGCAATTCTTCACCTAAGATAACAAATTCAGTTTAGTATGCAGATCCAGAGGGTAAAATTATCTTGATACAGTGTTGTTTGTGAAATCATAGCCCTTCAGCTTCCATCACTGGCATTGCTGTTTGTGTCTTCCATATCAAACATGCAGACACGGGAAAGATTCCTGTTGACAGGGCCATGTTTGGCCTTGAGGAACCCGGGCGGCTCTGTATCTTTAGAAAGAACTGACGGGAGATCCAAAACTGATTTAAGAGTGTGATCAGGACGACAGTTATCATTACAACTCAACAATTTCTGTTCCAGAGATGCTGGAGAAAGAGGAACCCAAACTGTAACTCCTAGCGATGCCTCATGACCTCCCAAAATATCAGTTTCAAGCTTGTCCCCCACCATCAAACAATCAGCTGGCAATACACCCAATGTTTCACAAGCTTCCAAAAAAATGCGATGGTCTGGTTTCTCCCATGGCAGATCACCACTCACCAACATCAAATCAAAGAAGGGTGAAATATTCAGTTGCTGGATTTTCTCCCATTGGGCGTTGGAAGGGCCGTTTGTGATGATGGCCAGAAGAAAGCGCTCCCGCAGCCGAACCAGCAGCTGCTTGACTTCAGGCTGAAGCGCCAGGAAACGCCAGCGAAGCACTAGCCATTGCTGATATATCTCACCTATAAAGTACAAATAGACAAAGAGGGAGTGAGCAAACCAATCGTGTAATGAGGAATTAAAAAATTGATCACACTTCCTCAAAAACCACGAAATTTGTTATGAGAACTTACTAGCAATGTGCGCATACTGGTCGCCAAGAGCATGACCCCAGAGCATGAGACGCCATTCATCTAGCCCTCCATCTGGGCGAGCTGGACAGAGTCTGAAGTTGATCAGGAAACTTTGAACAATTCTGCTGGCCACGTTCTCTGGAACCCCATGTTGCTGCACCAAAATTTCTCCCACCTGAAAATAAACATAAGAGGTTATCAGATTCAGTACAGTTCAAAAGAGGATAAATATCTCTCTTAAAAAGGGGTATGAGATTAAAAGGGCTTGCATTTATCATTGCCAACATTATTTAAAAAGTTTGAAAAGGAACCTGAAATGAGCAACAGACAAAAACTCCTGCTGTAAACATCATCTGCAAACTCACCTAAAAAATTCAGCATTTGTTTCTAAGAATGAAAGATTGGTTTGCAGAGAGATGTGTAGTAAGTAACAATTTACTAGTGTATTGTCCTTGACAAAACTCTGTTTTATTTTCACTGAATTACATTAAATGGAGCATGGCATACATGTATAGTGGCTTTGAGGCTACTGAAAATGTTCCTAATGTTCATGGTACATTCCTTGGTGAGAAATGTTGTATGTGATGTTAATTATATGAATGTATAACTTCTTGTTTGAAATCTAAACAATTAATATCCAAATTAATAATCAAGCTTCAGGGAACAACATTACTGATAGTACAAACATGGTTAAATGCTGAATATCACATTACTTGTCAATTACTGAATGAAAGGAAATATTTCCCTTCTTAAGAAGGCACCACAAAATATTATTGCTAGAAAACATTCCTTAATAATTTAAGAATCTCCCTATCTAGGAAAAGGGAACTTAAACCAACATGCTGCTGAATCATGCTGGGGACATCAGACATGGCATGGTGGACTTGAACTAAGAAAACAGGGTAATAGAGCGATGGCAACCATTCTTTGCAAAGTGCTGTACTGTAGAATTTCACAGCAGCTGTCTTGTAATTTTCAAGATTTAGACAAAGAAATGTAACAGAGAAAAGAAGATAACACTGGTGCAATTCTTTCAGTAAAATATGTTGGTCAACCTATTATCCATCACACAACCGGTATAACAGCTCAATAAATTACATGGACAAAGAGCAAAAAACATGCAGGTCAAGATGTGAAAACCAATAAAGGCAGAAATGTGAGCTCATAAAACAGTACTGTTAAGGGAAAAGCCATACACAAGTTAAAAAAAAAACTATGAAAAATATTTATTCCAGTAGAAAAACACAGGTAGAAAAATGAATAAAAAAGCGCAGATGAATATTTCTCCTCTTTTATAACATCATCATTAAGCAGGAAGGATTTCTTACAATTTTAACGCATAAGTACTCAAATTCACGACAATAATAAAAATTAAATAACATCTGCAGAAAAATAAAATGCAGACTAAAGCTCAAATACAATAAATAGACATGTCACAATCCAACTCAGTCTTCAAAGAGTTTTTTCCCCAGCTCCATAAGGCGGTGATTGCGACAAACAGCCAGGGCATCACGCTTCTTGAGGACAGAAGCAACACTATTGTTTGCAGCCACCAGATGACACAGGAAGTCTTCATATGCTGATTTGGTATTAGGGGGAAGAGATCCATACTTGACTTTTTTCAACGTATCAATGATACCCTCTGCCCACCCACTCTCAATTGCAAACTCAGAGATCCAGGGAATAAGTGACAACACAGCACTCATTGTTTGCATGCCAAGGAACCACAACTCCATCAGCTGAATCCAATGCTCCTTGTATGACATGGCAACGACAAGGGTGGAACTGTCATTTGATTCATCAACATTGTAGGCATCCCATAGAAAACGAATGGTAGCTTGAATGTATCGGCAGATAGAAAAATCATTTTTCTTAATCTTCTTTGCTTGCTGCTTGAGTAAAAGTAAGCCAAGCACAGCCATATTACCATGCAACACAAGATTGTCAGGAATATTACGAAGCTCTGGTAGATTACTCAAGATAAATTTGAGTAGCTGGGCAAAGAGTGAGCTCTCCTCCACCAGTTTGGCCTCTAGCACAGTAATATTCATGAAGATATTGCAAATACTGATCATGGCAGTTCGAGAATCACTCATATCCTCAACAAGTTTTGGGTCCAGGGCTTCTTCCTTCCTCACTTTCAATCTATCAGCTCTTGGCACAGGAGGCTTCTTGTAATGAACAATGGACCAATGGAAAGCAAAGCTTTCATAGAGTATCTCATCCTCTTTCGTATTCAGTAAAATCTTTCTGGCCTGATCTTCCACTGCAAGATGGCACAATGCTGGTAGCATAAATCTAAGAATATCCACCTGACTCATAGGATCTGTGTCAACTTCCATGGGCTCTCCAGTGGGGTTTGTTCCACCTGGTGGTCCCCTAACTTTTTCCATCATGTAACGTGCTCGATAGGCATAGAAGGTGTCATTTGCCAACAATAACATAAATGGTAACAGTTGATAGATCTGATCACGCATAGCTGAGGTTTCCTGGGCCATCCAAGAAGAAAGAACCCTAACCATGGCACAGATCAGGACCTTCTCTTGCATTTCCAGTTGCACCTTCTTCTTGTTGAAATCACCCTGGACCTTCATTAAGAGCGATATCACTGCAGTGAAAGCTCCTTTCATGGCCGTGTACATAGACTGCTTCTCTCTTCCTTCAAGCTCCACATGCTCATTAGCAACAAATGTGATAGCGGTCTCAATCAGCAGAAAGCAAGCAGTTACTAGATCAGCATTTGCCATAGCAGTTTTGAGTCCACCTTTATCCTCCAATTGCATGCGCACTTCAACACAAGCAAGTTGAACAATCAAGAGGAAAAACTTCCTCGGGTTGTCTTCATCCATCATGGTCCACTTGGGCCCCATCACACCTGTCATTACAGAGGCCAATTTGAGAGCTGGGTCCCTTTGAGCTTTCCCTATTTTGCTGGTCAGAATGTCATACAAGGCTTTGTAAACACTGGCAGGCCATGTGGTATCTTCACTAAAGTTTGTGGCAGTGTCATGTTTACAACTTGACAACAGACCATTCATAATATCACACAAATGAAACTTGCGGTCACTTTGGTCAACTTCACAATCCAGACTGATTTTATTCATCAATGTATGGAAAGCTCCAGGATTTTCTTCCCAACAACTTGGCCCAAAGCCAGTGACTAGAGTGACCAACAAATCAAGAGCCTCATCAGTCTGAAAACTTTGATTTGTATAGATTTCACACATCTTGGCAACAGCACCGATGTCAATCAGTGCCTTTAGGCCCTGCTTAGTAGTGGCGATGCTTGCAAGACATTCATATGCTTCATTAACAATGATTAAGTTGTCATCGTCAGCAGCATCCGAAGTTTGGACAATGTCTAGGAACATTTGCAAATTAGCAAGCAGCTCAGGATCTATAGCTAGCTCAGGATCTTTGCAAAATGTTGATAAAATAGAAAGAGCAACAGATTTATAGATTTGAGGCGGGCAGTCTTGAACGTCTGATGTCAGCAGTAGGCGTTTCAAAAACTTAAAGCCGATGGCTTCAAACAAAACCTTCCGCACAGCAGCTGAGCAGTCATTCCCTTTCACAAGCTTCGTAACCATGAACAAAGCAGCAAGCTTCTCCGTGTCAGTTTCAGATGCTTTCAGAATGGCGACACATTTCTTGACTGGCTCTGGTATGGCAGCCATCCTGGCCGGAGAAGTAGAACTTGGCACCGGGGTTGAATCAGTCACACACGACTAGAACGCGACGACAACGCGCGCAGATAACCTCAACACACTAAGGCGAGGGCAGCCAAATTGCATGACAATGTGACAATGCGGTAGCACCGACGAGGGCAGACGGTCCGCAGTGCGCACCGAGAGGAGAGCTCTGGGGGCTGAGCTGGTCTTCACTGACGGGCCGGGCGCTGCCTGCGGCCTGCGGCCCACGACGGGGCCTCCCTCACGCGCCCTTAAGTCTTATTATAGACACACACAGTCACAGTCAGAGGGGAGGGCAGCTCCCGAGAAAAGTCTAAACTTGGACGGTCTAGAATTACAGGCACGAGTTATTTTCGGTGTGTTCGCTTCGCCTTCGCGCGCAGCAGCGCTGTAGCAGTGGAGCAGCGGCGAGGCGCATGGTGCACTCCCGCGGCGACTTCGTTCACAAACACTCGCCGCGCTGCGACTGCGACGCACACACACACAACGACCTAGCCAGGACCTTGAAACTTTCACGACGTCCTGCTGTGACTTAGCAAACCTTAACCTGGAATGACCCAAGCCCTAACCTAGGCAGAAAATAAATGCAAATTTACCTTGTCACATGCAGCTTTGTCTCCTTGGCGAGTTGCGATCAAAGTATTGTCCAAATCAAACAATATCGCTTTAGGACATTGCGAAGGAATTCGTCTGCTGTGAGTAGCCATACTTTTTCTTGAGAACAATATGGTTGACCGCGGTGTACAAAGGGTGGAAGCGGTAATGACGCACGTACTTAGGCGCATGCGCACACCATTCACTTCCTTTCACTTTCCCGCTTCCACCGTCTCAACTCCGCGGCTGCGAAGCACCAACCTTCCGCTATGATAACACCGATGAAAGAAGAAAAATGTCCCGACACACTGCAACATTTCCTTATGGCGCCCTCGCATAGTATCGACTCTACACCGTGTGCAAGGGAAATTCTCTTTGAGCCATTGTCATTCCATATTGAATAGCACCATTTCGTTCCACAGTTTGTCATCATGATCGAAAATCAAATTGCGCGCGTTCGGCCGGCAAACACTGCCTGAACAACTTTGTTGGATATTCTCCTTGTTTTGATCTGAAGGTGTCGACAAACGTCGTTAATCTTGGTAAGTTCAAACTATTTCCCGTCAATTCTCATTCAGAGGAAATCGTTTCAATCCTTGCATCAATTCTTACACCATTTTTATTCCTGATTCCATGTGTTCATTGCTTGTAAATAAACATTTTCTGACCGTTATATCAACGTTAGGTTAATTTCTTTTTGTAACATTTTGGTTCCTATAAACTACTGAATTATGTTAGAATGCGCCTTACATTCTCATCCCTATATTATCTTTTGGAGACATGTTTTGATATGTTTGTTCAGACTGCTGACTTGCTTTCAATGAGGTCTCCTTGTTTTCATTGACACCATCATGTTTTGTTTTTTAGATTTTTCCCAATCATGGCTATGTTTGCTCAAACTGCGTCTTCTTCTACAACAACTCAAGGTGTTGTCGAAGAAGAAGATGGGGATCTCGGACCTCAGAAAATTTCGAAGCTTGTGGTGAGTTCTTTGTTCTGTCAATTGAATCATAATTGCCCACAGTGCAGGTGATTCTACATTGTTAATTTATTTTTTAGAGTGCTGGCATCAGTGCTGCGGATTTAAAGAAATTACAAGAAGCTGGTTACAACACCATTGAAGGCCTTGCGTTTGCTCCGAAAAAACATTTGATTTCCATCAAAGGCATCAGTGAACAGAAGGCGGACAAAATATTGGTAAGTATTTACTGTTTCAAACCACCTAGAAAGTTTCTATTTATTGATAACATTTGATTGATCGCTTCTACCAGGCCGAGTCTTCTAAGCTTGTCCCAATGGGCTTTACAACTGCCACTGAGTTCCATCAAAAACGGTCTGAAATCATTCTTCTTACTACTGGCTCAGCTGAATTGGACCGCCTTCTTGGTGGTGGAATTGAAACAGGTTCAATAACTGAACTGTTTGGTGAATTTGGCACAGGAAAAACTCAGCTTTGTCACACACTTGCTGTTACTTGCCAGGCAAGTCATGGTCCATCAAACTGATGGACAAGAAATAAATTTTGTTGTGTTTTGTTCATGTCAATTGTTTGGCTGTATTGCTTGTCTAATTTTTTCCTTTTCTATTTTGTTGATGTAGCTCCCTATAGATCAGAATGGTGGAGAAGGTAAATGTTTGTACATTGACACTGAGAGCAATTTCCGACCTGAAAGATTAATTGCTGTTGCGGAAAGGTACAATTTGTCTTCTACTGATGTGCTCGACAATGTTGCTTTTGCCAGAGCTTACAATACAGATCATCAGACCAAGTTACTTGTCATGGCATCAGCTATGATGGTTGAGTCCAGGTGAAAATTATGTTCTGTTAAGCCTCCTTATTTCTCCTGAAGTAGTGGCAAGCTTTCTAATTTTCCTAATTTTTCTCTGCAGGTATGCCCTTTTAATCATCGACTCTGCAACAGCTTTATACCGAACTGACTATTCTGGTCGAGGAGAACTAGCTGCTCGGCAGCAGCATTTAGCTCAATTTATGAGAATGCTTCTGCGTCTTGCTGATGAGGTGAGTTACCATTCTGTCTAGGTGTAGATCATACGCCAAAGAACTCCAATTAAGATAAACTAAGATCTCATTTAACTCATTTTCATTTTCTGCCTAGTTTGGTGTTGCTGTGGTAATAACAAACCAAGTTGTTGCTCAAGTGGATGGTGCATCTCTCTTTGTCGCTGACCCCAAGAAGCCCATTGGTGGCAATGTTATTGCTCATGCCTCCACAACAAGGTATTCATTCATATTACAAAAACTCACGTAACTTTGAATGTGACTGTGGCCCTTTTGACCGTTTGTCTTTGTTTGTGAAGGTTGTCTTTCCGAAAAGGACGTGGTGAAACCAGAATCTGCAAGGTGTATGACTCTCCCTGCTTACCGCAAAGTGAAGCTACCTTTGCCATCAATGCTGACGGTGTAGGTGATGTCAAAGAATAGGTGTTACTTTTTACTGTCTGAATAATAATTTTTGTACATTCTTAAGTTACAAAAATTGTAACTAGACACTTCAATTTGTGATAAGCTATTAACTTTACTCAATTGAAGGCATGAAAGTACAATATTTTTGCATTTTCCAGTCTCTGAGCAAATTGAATAGCTTTCTCTCAGCTTTTCTTTTATTTGATGTGTTATATTTTTTGTGATGTCTTATATAATATTATAATGTTATTTCATCTATGATTTAATGATTTTGAAAATGGCATTTGACATTTTGGTTGTTCCATGCGGTTTTGGTGCACCTAACTTTGTATCCTTTCCCATTATATTATAATTGACTCTTTACCAAAACTTCAGGATCTGTGTACATTTTTCTCCCTTGAAATTTTAGCCCCGAGCCAAATGCTCCTTCTTTATATGTGTTCGTACTATTATATTTAGCGTAGGTCCCTTGCATATGTACTCTGTGGATTGAATAAAATCAGCATGATCATCGTCCGCGGACGGGACTGCGCCGTTTTTTGACACGCACCGTGCCCCCCTCTAAATTCGTCACGAAAGCGTGCAGGGCTCGTCTCGTCTCGTCCCAGGTCCCCGCAAGACCGCCTAGCCGTGCCGTGAGCCTAGCAGGGCAGGCCTGGCAGAGGCCCAAATGGTGATGTGTTATTTGGGCGAACGTCGATGGGGTCGTTATCCCTTTGGTTCGGCCCGCTCTAGCGCTGTAGCCAGGCTGTAGCCCGCCGCCGTGGCTGTGGTCAGTGCCTACAGTGCCTGGCGAGACTATGAGGCCTGCCAGCTCATTTATAACGTCACATGAGATGGCCGGCTCCTTTGACTTCTTTACTTTTGGTCGTCGAAGGCAACATGGAAATTCACCTGATAGATTTGAGCGAACTCGCATCACGCCGCGCTGCTGAGTGGTCAGTGAGCGCCGTCCGGGTAGGCAGCCCATCCAGCACACTGTAGGGCTTGACTTGACTGTGCGGTGCGTCGGCGGCGGGCTACGCCAGGGTCGCCAGGGCTACGCAGCGCACGCACCTGTCCTGTGGTCCTTTCTCATTGATTACGCTCGGCGCTACTGCAAGTCACATCAGTGAGTGGACAGAAATTCGACACGCGTTCACTTTCGGCGGTGCCCGAAAACACTTGAGCCACTCAAAAGGGCTTCAGCGTGATGCAGCCGGATTCTATTGTCCGGCCTAATCAGCTGAGCAGGTTAAAAGGTTTCCGCCCAAAAAACGTGTGTTCACCCTGCCGTCTGATTCCGAGAGTAGTTTTCGTCACTCTGTCTCTCTCGCACTCGTGGGACGTTTCTTATCGGTGCGAGGGAGACGGAGCGGAATCAGTCTACTGAATGGCATCTCTAGCGTCGCCGCTCTCACTTCGCAGCACCTTTTGCCCGTTATCAGTCTCGCTTCACTCGAAGAGGGCCGCCTTCTGTGTATCAGGCGAAATCAAGTGGAACCCTGACTTCGTTTTTTTTTAGTTTACTCTACAGACGGTCTGGACGCGCCGCCGACGTCACTGTGTTTCTAGCAAGATCAGCCGCCGTTTGAGTTTAGATTACGGTGTCGGCCCGACGGCCCATGCGTGGGCCACGTGGTCCATAGTCATGTGCCAGGTCATCGCGGTGCGGCAAGTCAGACGTAAAGTCGCAGTGACGCGCCTGGCGATAGGTGGACTAGCCTACCTTTCAGGCGCTGGCCTCTGCATGCTGCATGCCTTGTTTGGTTTGCGTGCCTTTCTTTGCACAGTGGGCCAGAAGACCGGCGGAGTGGGCAAAAATTCTAGACGCGTTTTGAGCTCCAGAGTCACTAAACAAGACTCGAACTGAACGTGTGACCCTACCAATAGATTGCTCTCCGAACGAAAAATCCATTGGTGGGGTCACACGTTCGGTTCGAGTCCTGCTTAGCGACTCTAGAGCTCATAACGCGTCTGGAGTTTTTGCCGCCTCCAGCGGTCTTCTAGCCCACTGTGCTGTGCATTGGGGCATCAGTTTTCGGGGGCCGCTGCTGCTGATACCAACTTCCGATGACATTCGCCGGGGATCCCTTCCGCACAACATTGTGGTTTATCTTGGTAGTTGGCGGCGACGCGACGCGCTTGGTCGGTAAATGTCAGGCGGTCTGGGGCCTGGCCGGCCTGGCCGAGGGCCTAGCGAGGCGACCGGTCAGCGGCTGCAGACTGGCGGAGGCAGCCTGCGGCGAGTGCAGCGACCAGAAGCACGCTCCTGTGCCTCTCCTCTGTCCGCCACTTGGTGTCGTCCAAGAGGTCAACTACTGGAGCACGATCAATGCCGCCCCCGTGACCTTGGCGACCTTGGCCCTGCTAGCTGCCAGCCCCGGCTGTGCGGCGTGCCCTTCGGGCCCTTCGCCGCGGCCAGTGCCGCAGACCCCGGCGCGGCGGGCAGCACGCCGAAGGACGCTAGCTCTCTCCCTCGCTGAGAAGTAGAGCGTTCGGCCGCGTCCGGGGCGAGCGTCGCGGCCTCTCTCTATCTCGCACTGCAGTCTATCTCGAGTGGGCCGGGGTCCCATAACCAGGACGCCGCCCGCCGCCGTAACGAAGTCACGGAAATTGACTAGGAGGAGAGCAGCCAGGGCGTCCGTCAGTGGGTCCGGGAGCGGCGGTGAGGCAGCACGCGGCACGCGGCAACGGAACACAGCGGCGTCACCATGCACGGCGGGAAGGGCGCGAAGCAGGCGATGCAGTGCACGCTGCTGCTGCTGCTGGCGGCGGGGCTGGCGGACGCGGCGCGCATCCTCGCCGTCTTCGCCATGAAGGGCCAGAGCCACACCATGGTCAACGACCCTCTGGTGCGCGGGCTGGCGGCGCGCGGCCACACCGTCGACGTCTACGGCCACTTCGTCCCCGCCGAGCCGGTCGCCAACGTCCAGTACTTCAAGCTGGAGCGCGCGGGCACGCTGGCGCCGGGGCTGGACATCAAGGCGTACGAGCACGCGTACACCAAGTTCGTGAACCCCATCAAGCTGATGAGCAGGGGTATCGACGACTGTGAGGCGCTCTTCAGCGACCCCGGCGTGCAGCGCCTGCTCAGCTCCAACACCAAGTACGACCTCTTCATCACGGAGCTGTTCAACACGGACTGCTATCTCGCCTTCGGACACCGCTTCCAGGTAAGAAAACAACGCCGAGGTCCTAGAGGACTCCCAGCTAGCTGCCTTGCCTTGCCTTCCCGCGCGCCTCACCGAGTCCTCCTTGTCGTGCAGGTGCCCGTCGTGGTGCTCAGCACCAGCCCCATCCTGCCCTGGGGCAACTGGCGCTTCGGCAACCCGGACAACCCCGCCTACATCCCCAACATGTACTCGGGGTCGTCGGACACCATGACCCTGCTGGAGCGCGGCGTCAACGCCCTGCAGGTGGTGTACACCAACGTCATCAAGACGCTGTACTTCGACCCGATCGACCAGGCCGTCATGGAGAGGGCGCTGGGGAAGGCGCTGCCGCCCGTGGCCGAGATGGCGCGCAACACCAGCCTGCTGCTCGTCAACACCTTCCACGCCCTGACGCTGCCGCGGCCGCACACCGTCGGCGTGGTCGAGGTGGGCGGCATCCACATCACCAGGCCGGACCCGGCGCCGCTGCCCAAGGTGAGACGCCACGACGGGACGGGCCTCGACTGTCTCGACCAGCGCGGAGTCGCCTCGCTGGTGCCCAGGCTGCCCTGGCCCGCGGCCCGCACCGCGTGTGCAAAAGTTCATGGCGTGATCGACACAAGGGTCAAGACAGACGCCCACAAAGTGTCGCCATTATCTCGCGCGGTTACATAAAAAGATGACGCGTGTGTTATTGGGCGCTTCTCGCACTTCGCGCTTGGTGCGTTTGTCGCACGGCAGCGTTCTGCGCGGGCGGCACGGGCCGCACCTGCGGCGAGGGAAGTCCGTGGTGCACGATGGGTGGCCTACCCGACGGCGCTGCAGACGCAAACGCAGCGCGCAGCCCCGTCCCCGAGGAGCGTAGTGAAGTGGCGGGCGGGCAGGGCGCGGCCGCTAGGCCTCAAGCCAATGCTTCCGCTGAGTTGGCACTGCAGGAGTTGGCCTGGCGTGGCCGGCGCCCCGAACAGCTGACCGTCGTCGCGTCGCCGGCCGTGCGAATAGGCAAGTGCGCGCTTCTATTCAGACAGAACGCGTCCAACGCGGCTGGCGGCGCTGGCGGCGCCCTTCGGCGGGGCACTAGGGGCGTGCGTCACGCGCCGCCGCGACACGCCGTAACCGCACGGCGACGGGGTGGACTGCAGTGCCTGTGTTGGCCACCCTGGGCGTCACCATAGCGCCATACCGAGCCGGCCCGCCATTCTGTGCCTTTACTCGACTTTCTTCGACGAGCTGCTGCCTTCGTGCACTTCGTGCCGCCTTGTCGGACACACGGCCTCGCTATCGGAGAGGACTCGGTGAAGAGGTTAGGCGGCGCGGCGAGGTGCGGCGCGGGGCTGCTGCACTGTACAGGGCTCCCAGTGGAGGGCGGACGCCGCAACGCGACGCGCCAGCAAGCCAGCCCCGCCTCGACAGTGTGTAGGACGGCAGGGCTTCACTCCACGTCGCTCCGAGTCGCCATGGACACCAAGCTCCTCGTGCTGCTGCTGCTGGCCGTGGCCGCGCCACTGGACGGCGTGCTGGCGGCGCGCATCCTGGGCGTGTTCCCGCACTCGGGCAAGACGCACTTCCTGGTGTTCGAGCCGCTGCTCAAGGAGCTGGCGGCGCGCGGCCACGAGCTGGTCGTGCTGAGCCACTTCCCGCAGAAGCGCCCCCCGGCCCGGTGGACCGACGTGAGCCTCGAGGGCACGCAGGTGAACCTGGCCGGCCTCATCAACTTGGAGGACGGCGGCGGCCTGCACCCCATCACCACCAGCGCCTTCGACTTCTGGTTCATCACGCAGTTCGGCCACTACTCGTGCGATGACATCTACTCGCACCCGCCCGTGCGCGAGCTCATCGAGAAGGACCGGCGCGGCTTCGACCTCATCATCAATGAGAACTTCAACACCAACTGCTTCCTGGGGCTGGTGCACCGCTTCCGACCCGCGCCCTACATCGCCATGTCCTCGTGCGCCCCCTTCAGCTGGGACTACCACCGCCTGGGCAACCCGTACCACGCCGCCACCATGCCCAACACGTTCCTCTGGTTCTCGGACGAGATGTCCTTCCCGGAGCGCGTCATCAACACGGTGTACTCGGCCGCCATCCGCGCCTACATGACGCTCGTCTGGGACCCCGCCGCGCAGCGCGTCGCCGAGAAGCACGTGGGGCCGGGGGTGCCGCCGCTCGCCGACCTGGCCTACAACATGAGCCTCATGCTCTCCAACACGCACCCCGCGCTCAACCGCCCCAAGCCCCTGGTGCCCGGCGTCGTGGAGATCGGCGGCCTGCACATCGGCCAGCCTCAGCCGCTGCCTCAGGTCAGTGGTGGGGGGCTGCACCGGGCCGGGAGCCCTCCGCGACGTCCGCGACGGAGAAACCGCGGACCCCGCGGAATCGCCTGTCGCGCCCGGAAACTAGTCATCACTTTGCCGTGCAGTCTCTATGTCTTTGTTGGTGTTGGTGATTGGCCTAGCGAGCTACGCCCCTGCCTTGTCTGTGGGCAAAGGGTGACGGTTATTTTGGAACACCAGTGCGCCAGTGCTCCAACTTGCCAACTGATTCGGTCCGTCGGTCTGTCCGTCTGTCTGTCTCAGCTGCGAAAAACTCTTTCGGATTGTGCTCCAGTGGTGCGGACAGTGTACACGACCTGATCGAATAATCGCGCCGGTCCTCGAAAGATAGCACCGCCAGGTGCGTGACACAGCGGAGACGGACAACGGCGCGCATTCGATTCACTTTTGGAAGCCAATGGCCTCTGGCCTTCTTCTTCTGGGAATTCGCTAACGTTGGAAGGGCGCGGAAAGGCGTGAGTGGGCGACGGATTTAACGTCCGGCATATCAGCTGCTTTCTCAGATAAACTTGAAACTGAGCGCGAAACGATTAGACTTCACTTGAAGTAGCTAGGACCACAACTTGATCCTCTGCTTTTCGAGGAAGTCAAACAAACGCGCGACTCTTCAAAAGGCACTCCCCGTTTCGTCTCATCTCATGAGGCAGTGACGAGTTAAAAGAGGCGAGCAAATATTTTTGTCTCCTTTTGCCCCGCAGGTTGGTCACACTGGGCCACTGTGATAAGGGTGGGACTGCTTATCAAGGTCTCACGAGACCGAACACCCCGTGCGATGTGCGTGTATGTCACGTTATCGGGTGACATCACCGCCGTCAAAAGAAGCCGAACATGTTTAATGTTGGCAGTCATGTTGAACGTTGGCAGCGTTGGCAGTCATGTTCCATGTTAGCAGTCATGTTTAGCGTTGGCAGTCTGCAGTGTAGATAAGTGTTTCGGTGTCGCGTTTCTTGCGCGGTGACAGGGGACGCGTGCTGCACTCTTTGCCAACGGGGCGCGCTGACGGACGGGCATGGTCGTATTCTCGTAGTGCAGCGTGACTGTACGATTTCGCCGATAGCCGGTCGCCGTTTCGAAACCCGCGTGGCGGACTAGCTTAGCCGATTAGAATACGTAAATGTCGGGCGAGTCACCGGTTCAAAAAAGAGCGCGCCTCGTGCTGACCGCGTGGGAGCTTTTTTTTGGCGACGCGATGAGTGACAGCGACGAGGATAGGCACCCCGTCGTGCGCGGGGGACTGGCGGGGCGCTCCAAGCCGCTGCAAGGCCTGCAAGGGCGTGACCCCAGAGACCGGCCACCGGCATCGACCTAGGGCGGCTTGCGGTAGGCCCGGCGCGTCTCCTCTCGTCTCGTCCTGCACCTGGTGGGGCGGGGCGGCGCCGGCGGGCCTGGCTGCGCTGGCTGCCCTGGGCCGTCGCCAGAAGAAGGGGTTTCGCGTCGCGTCGCTTCGCCCCCACCAGCACCTCGCCCACCTCGCCCACCTCACCCCGCCACGCGACCGACCGAGCCCGAAATGCCGCAGTCCTGCAGTCCGCGGCGCGACGCCAGGTCAAGCATGCCGTCGTCGTCGTGGTTGTGGGCGGTGCTGGCGGCGGTGCTGGCGGCGTCGTCGCTGCCGCCGCAGGCCGTCCAGGCCGCCAACGTGCTGGCCGTGCTGCCGCACGCGGGCCGCAGCCACCACCTCGTGTTCGAGCCGCTGCTGCTGGAGCTGCACAACCGCGGCCACGCGCTCACCGTGCTGAGCCACTTCCCGCGGAAGTCGCCCCCGCACTACCACCGCCACGTGGACCTGCGCGGCTCCATGCCGATGCTGGACTCGGTGCTGCCGCTCGCCGCGCTCGAGACCCTCAACCCGTTCACGGACTTCATGACGATCGCGCGGATCGGCCAGGACTCGTGCGACGCAGTGCTCTCGCTGCCCGGCGTGCGCGCGCTGCTCGCCTCCAACGAGACGTTCGACGTGATCCTGGACGAGGCGTTCAACACGGACTGCTTCGTGGGCTTCTCGCACCGCTTCCGTCCCGCGCCCGTCGTGTCGCTCAGCAGCAGCGTGCTCATGCCGTGGGCCGGCGCCAGGGTGGGCAACCCGCAGCAGCCCGGCGTGCAGCCCAACCTGTTCCTGTGGTTCGCCGACATGGCGCCGCTGTGGCAGCGCGTCGTCAACACGTGCTACACGGCCCTGGTGAACGCCGTCAAGGCCCTGCACTGGGACCGGCTGGCGCAGCGCGTCGCCGGACCGCCACTTCGGCCCGGGGCTGCCGTCCGTGCGCGCGCTGGCCCGCAACACCTCCCTCGTGCTCGTCAACTCGCACTTCAGCCTCAACCTGGCCCAGCCCGCCGTGCCGGGGGTCGTGGAAGTGGGCGGCCTGCACATCCCCGACTACGCGCGGCCCCTGCCCAAGGTGCTCCAGATTAACTCGGCGAACCGGCGTCGCTGCGAAGCTGCGCGCGGTGTACCGGTGTCGCAAAGACTCCAGCCTCTAGTGCGGTTCGCCCCGCCCCGCCCCGCCCCTCGTTGCGAGACCGCGTTGCGCGGCGGCCCGGTCCTGCTCCGGCCGCACGCTGCCGGCAATACGCCACGCACCAGCGCCTCCGGGCGGCTCCACGCGAGATGGACGAGTATTTTTATCGACTTGTTTTAGGTCTGCTGACGCCAGATCGGCAACAAATTGGCTCCGCCCGTCCTTCCCAGTCTCTGGTCCCGTCCTTGGTGCACTTCTGCCGCCTGTCTTCGTCGCCGCGGGTACACTGTACCACGTGGTGGCGGACATGCATGAGTTACGCGACGCACTGCTGCAAACTGATTCCGCACAGCGTTCCGTCGCCCTCTCTCTCTCTCTCTCTCGCACCGATACGGGGCGCGCTGTGAGTGCGAGAGAGACAGAGCGGAATCAGCCTGCTGCTTGGCGAGGCGACGTGCCGGCGTCGCAGCAGCCGCCTCCCTACTGTACCCCTCGTTGGGCCTCTGTTAAAATCGCTGACCTCTGCTTTGCTTGTTGCAGGACCTGGAGCAGTTCGTGGGCGGCGCCAAGGACGGCGTCATCCTCTTCTCGCTGGGCTCCATGATCCGCACCTCGTCGCTGCCCCAGGAGAGCGCCGTGGCGCTGCTGCGCGCGCTGGGCACCCTCAAGCAGCGCGTCGTCTGGAAGTGGGAGGGCGAGGCGCCCGGCCCCGTGCCCAAGAACGTCCGCCTCTCCAAGTGGCTGCCGCAGTTCGACGTGCTCTGTGAGTCCCCCTGTCCCTGTCGCTCTGTCTCTCTCGCACCCCAGCGGGACGCCCCGCGAGTGCGGCAGAGACAGAGCGACGAGACGACTCCTCGCAATCGGTCCATTGAACGACTTGACGATCGACGCGGTCCTCTGCCTGCGCAGGCCACAACAACACGCGGCTGTTCATCGGGCACGGCGGCCTGCTCAGCACGTCCGAGGCAGCGCACTGCGGCGTGCCCCTGCTCGGCATCGCCATGTACGGCGACCAGCGCACCAACCTGGCCGCGGTCGCCAAGCACGGCGCCGGCCGCAGCCTGCCCTACAGCGCCCTCAAGAACGCCGACGTGTTCATCAAGCACGTCCGCGAGCTGCTCGACGACCCCAGGTGAGCGGGGATTTCAGTTTACAGTGACGCGTCGTCGGGCAGGCCCGCCTGGAGGGTAGACCACCCAACGCACTCGCGAGCGCCCAACGCGACGGCGTCGACGGCGACGACGGCGTCCCTTGCTTGCCAGCCTTCCTCTGACGGGGGTGTCTGTCTGTCCATGTCCACAGCTACCAGCAGAACGCGGAGGTGCTGTCGCAGCGGTTCCGCGACCGGCCCATGTCGCCGCTGGACACGGCGGTGTACTGGACCGAGTACGTGATCCGCCACAAGGGGGCGCCCCACCTGCGCGGCGCGGCGCGCAACCTCGCCTGGTACCAGGAGGCCCTGCTGGACGTGCTGGCCGTGGTGGTGCTGGGCCTGGCCGCCGCCCTCTACGTCCTGTTCGCCATGGTGCGCGCCGTGCTGCGGCTCGTGCTGCGGGCCACCTGCGGCTCGTGCGACAACAAGGACGCCAAGAAGAAGAAGGCGTAGTGTGTCTCCGTCCCACCCCGGGCCCACCCCGGGCCAGCAGACTGGTTCTCAACGGCAGTCGCTGTCTCACTCGCACCCTCGCCTGTGAGTGCGAGTGAGACAGAGCGACAGTGCGGAATCGCTCTGCGAAGACTGTGGACGCTCCGTGATGTGAAGTGCGACATTTCGCCTGGGGCCCCCCATGGGGGAGCCAGTGCCTTTTCAGGGGGACCTTGCGACCTTTCGGCTGTGAGAACCCAAGTGCGCCAAAGAGTTTCCAGTGACGACGGCGGCGGTGTGGAGTGCCGCGAGAGCCGCAAGGCCAACTTTGTTCCTCGTTTGTTGTTGAAAATGATCGGGAGAGAACAACACCATCGATACCGATGTACAGTTCGGTACCATCTGGCTACTGCACCATGTCTTCCAGACTGCATGTCTCAGTTTGTTGTAATGTTCAATTTAGATCGTAAGAGTCCGTGTGTAAATGAGGTTCTGTTCCTTTCCATACGCGAGAAGGGGTTGTCTGTGATAAACATCAACTATACTGACCTATGAATAGGATAAATGTCAAGAGATCTGTGCTCAGGCCTCTACTGGCATTTCCCATGACATTCAATAAACTAGTTTTTTAAACGGTTGTTTTTTTCTATTACCTTCCTTTCCTTACCGAGCTTTACTTTATTCAACGAAGTGGCACAGACATTTTCAGTTCCGGCCTGCAAGCAGCCTGGCTGCAAAAAAGTCAACTAAAGGAAAAGTCAGGAGGTAATAAACACAGAAAGTCTGACGCACCTATATTGAGACAAACAAGTTTCACTGAGAACAAAGTATGACAAGCGGGGTGGGTTGTCCATTTCATTCCGTGGCTCTGGCGCCTGTGAAACTAGAGTCTCTGCGGACGGGGGTAGAGGCCCGGCAGCGGGGCGTGGAGTACCGACGGAACGAGGCTGGGCGAGACCCCGCGCCTCTGCAACTCTGCATCGGCCGCGCGAAGACGCGAAGCTACGCGAGCCGATGAGTTTATTGGGATGCCTACCCTCTAGGCGTGTGGCAAAAATACTTGGCTGCGAGTTGATCTGGAGTCATTCTTGCGTTCAAAAACTTTTGAGACCTTCTGCGGACCGAGCATCGGCTACGAGTGTTGCTCAATAAGGGGCAGCGGAAAATCCATTCCGCAAACGCAATGCATAAAACTTCTAACTAAAAGTCGAATTTTTTCGTAGAAAATGTTTCGTTTTTCTTGTCGAGTCGATGACATCCCCGAGTCGGAATCCCCTCCCCACGGGCCGCAGCAGACGACACCCGCGCCACCGGCAGCGCTGGCCGGTGACACAAACACCCCCTCCCCCTGCAGTTCGATGTGCAAGCAGACGACACCGGGCGGACATCCATTCTCCCAGCAGAAAAAAAACAAAACAAAACAAAAACACAAAAACAACCTTCTCTCTCCACTACTTGTCGGGCGCAGCGCACAGCGGGCAGCGCTGCCGCCGCCAGCCTAGCCTCGCGCCGGGCCGCGCTGCTCAGTGCTCCACAGCGCTTCACAGTGCACCGTGCCGGTGGTGTTTACCTGGGGGCGCGACCTTTAAACGGCCACGAGTTCTCCGGGATGTTGATCCTGTTCACCGTCGTTGAAAATCTCGCCGAGCGCGCGCCGTCGGCACGCCGGCACGCGGCACGTCCCCTCGCCCTCTCGGGAAAACATTTTTGCTGGTGCCTCGGTCGGAAAGCGTCCCGGGCGCCGCTGCGCCGCTGCGCCGCCGCCTCCATTTGTTTGTTGTGACAAACGCGCAAACGCGCGGGTCGCCTCTCTTTACACTGGTTCAATTTTCCAGTCCGTTGCGCCGCCGCCGCTCTCTCCCTCTCTCTCTCCGCGCGCCTCTCTCTTCGAGAGATTCATCAATTCTTTCTCTTTACCTTCCCCCTCGCTAGACTCTCGCTGCTGCGCCGCTCCCGGCCTCTGCCCTCCATCCCCGGTACGGCTGGGCTGGCGGAATCGCAAACAACGCACTCTCTTATGAGACGCCGCGCCGCGCTATGCCCTACGCCACACTGCACGGCGCATTTCGCGTGCTTCGCGAATTTCGCCTCCAGAAGCCAGAAGCGCCAGAAGCCAAGCCGCCCGTCTTTGGGAGAGTGCCAGCCAGAAGGGAAAGGGGAAAAGGGGGGTGGGGGCACCTCGACGTGCATGCCACCGGGCGGGCAGGCCGGGAGCGTGGGGGGGTTGGCCTCCTCGCGGGGGAGCACACATTTAATGTGCTGGAAATTATAACTGACAGTTTGTCTTGCCGAGGCCCCGCGGGGGGCACTGCCGGCACTGCCGCTACCGTGGCGCGCCGTGCGTGGCCGTGCGTGAGCGCGTGTGACTTAAGGGCGCAATCTTGTAAATGGCATCCACTAGGCCTAAGTGGCCGTGTACACTGTAGTGAAGGCGGCGCGGTGTCCGACGGCGGTGAAGGTGGTGGAGGGGAGCCCCGTCTCTCTCACACCCCTGCGCAGCACCTCGTGAGAGCGACAGAGACAGAGCGACGAAACGACTCTGGTATCAGTCTGCCGGGCTTTCTCCGCTCTCCTCAGCCCGTCGACCCTTCGCTCGGGTTGGGCACTCTGCGGCCCGGGACGGCCGGGACGGCCCCTGCGTTCCTGGAGACACCGCGGTGTCCCGGCAGGGCAGGGCCGGCCGGACAGGCAGGGCTGGCAGGGCTGGCAGACTCCGACGGTGACCCATTCCTTATTCATTCCAAGGGTCAGTTCCCCTAGTTACCTCTCGGCCCGTCTCGGACCGGGCCGCAAGGTGCGCCCCGGGCGCGGCCCCGGGTTCAGCCAGGCCATTCCGAGCTGTCCTTTCGTCGCGCCGTCTCCCTCGCAGCCGCGGGCCGCTCCGCGAGTGCGACAGAGACAGAGCGAATCAGTCTGCGGGGGGTCGTCGGAAAATGACGACGCAACAGATTCGTAGCCGCGCGCCGCTACGGCACCCCTGCTTCTCGTGGCCAGCCGGGCCCAAGCCGGGCACCAGGCTTTGTCACTCCGTCTCTCTCGCACCCCGTCGCGACGCCCTTCGCCGGGCGAGTGCGACAGAGACAGAGCGATGCCGACCGCAATGCCGCACGCCCCCCGTCACGCCGGGCCGGCCGCCTTGCACTGCCTTGCACCACCCTCGATTCCCGGGCCAAAATAAAACACAAGGCGGGCCTCGGCCGCGCCACGCCGCCACGCCACCGCTTTCTCGACGCTCGTTTATGTATGTAAATATTTAAAGCACTCCGGGATGCATGCCGGCTTGTGCCGGACTCCGACCTGGCTCGATTTTGGCCCCCATCATATTAGCCAAACAGCCCCACTCCCTCTTGTCTGCAATTGTCATTCATGCTCCGGCCGACTCGGCCCCGCCCGCCCCGCCCCACCCCGCCCCAGCCAGCCCCGCCCCGCCCCAGCAGTTTCCGCCTCGACCTCAGTCTTAATTGGAGAGCCTGATCAGCGGCGAGGGGCGGCGGCCCGGCCGGCACTAGGCCAGAAATAGCGAAATGCCGAAGCAGGCCAAGCAGGCCAAGCAGCACACACGATCCACCGCAAAACGACGAGTGACTCGAAGGGAAGCGAAAGAAAAGTCGGTGGCAAAATGTTGGCAACAACGACACAGGCAGATTTTCCGCGGCCAAGCAAGCAAGGCGAAGCAAGGTCCTCGTCTTCGTCCTCGTCGTGAGACCCCATTACAGCGTAGTGCAGCGTCGAGTACAACTGCTGAAAGACTTGACGGAAGTCGGGGGAACACGGCGGCGACAGAGGGGGGGGGGGACTCCTCCGGGACATAGTTTGGCGGCAACTGCCACATTACTAAACTGTCTCCACACATCTTCTCAACACTCCGCCCGGCCCCGAGACTCGGCTGTGCACGGGCAGCCGCCGCGGTGAGGAGGGCCTCCCCCTCGCCCCTTTCCGCCCCGAGCGTCGTTACGAAAATATAATTACATTCAATCAAGCCGGGAAAACAAACCAAAATTAAAGGTCATAATTAGTGCGGTGCGGAGAAGCCCGGCCGGCAGCACGCGTCGGGTCGGGGCCAAGGCGGGGCGGGGCGTGGCGCGATAAAATCAGTAACCAAGAGGTAATTTCAGATTTCCCTCCGCTGCTACGCTGCTACCCGCGGGGCCGACAGGCCGCCATGCACGGCCACTGCCGGCCACTGCAGTCCGAGGGGCGGAAGGGGCGGTCGGCGGGGCCGCGGGGGCTGCGGGGGTAGCGGCACCCATACCCGGCAATTTACAGGGTTGCCGTTCGGGGTTGCTGTCCGTTTCGACCCGGGGCCGGGGCAGCCGAGGGCAGCTGAAGGCAGCTGCGGGCTTGCGGGCGGAGAGAGGGCCGAGGGGTTCAAGTTGGTGACTTCTGTGACGGAGGGCAGGCCGGCAGGCCGTGTTGCTAGCCGGGCGTGCAGCCGGCGTGTCTCTCCCACCCTGCGCCCCTGCCGCACCCCCCGTCCCTGCCAACCCTCCCCTGAGCGCTCCGCTCCGCAGCGCCCTGCAGACCTCTGCCTCCCGCCAGTCGGGTGTTGACTCCCGTACGGTCCGGACGCGCTCGCCAACCCCGGCCCTCGGCCTCGGCGTCAAGGGCCCTCGCACTTGTCGAGTCGAGACTCGCGACGCGCCCTCGAGTCCGTCCCGTCCGCGACGAACCGCGACGAACCGCGCGCCACGCCGCCGTCGCCGCCTCCCGGGGATGTTGCGGCCGGCGACGGCCTGACGGCCAGGGTCGCGGACACGCCCGCCGCCGTCTCACCGAGCTCGAAAAAAAAAAAAATAAGAAGCACCGGCTGGGACTCGAACCCGGAACGTGGGTCGGCTCGGCGCGCCCCCATGGCCGCCGCTGCAGCTGCTGCTGGACGCGTCCGATGACTCCGCTCGGCGGCGGCACCGCGCGGCGGCGTGTGATCACTCAAGGTACATGACCTACGACATGGCACGTATGTTCGTTTCTGGAGTCTGGGTGACAGACTTTTGAGAAGTGTGGATTTTTCGGACGCTCATCTATGAAAAGGGCCGACAGTAAATTTAAAACATGAACGAACGCCTTAGGCGGCAAAAATGGAAATGTATTAACTTGCACGTGAACGGATAATTGATAGTCGAACTCTGCAGACGACACACTGAGGCCTGCCCTAGGCTACAGTCCGCCACAAAAAGTGATGTACGCCCGGAAGTCATTGCGGCGGTCGGCTAACCTGTTACCGCGATCGCGCCGCACACGTGTAGCGGTTAGTTGTTTTTGCGAGTGCTCAGCGCGCGGAATTACTATTTGCACGGCGCGGTGTTGCGCACGTAGGGGCTGGATAAATAACAGGCTCTGTATCCATTTGTTTTATGCGCGTGCCTCGGTGCGAGAGTGAGAGTGTGTGGGTGTTTGCTGGCGCGCGTGCCTCTAGGTGTGTGTGTGCTCACGCGGCTCTCGCGGCTCACGCGCGCGTCCCTCTAACCTCTCCAAGCCCCTCTCCAGCCCCTCCAGCCCCTCCAGACACTCTATTCCGCGCGATAGTTTGCCCGCTTTGTGACGTCGGGACGCGTCGCACGTTGAGTCGAGTGTCATTAAATTCGGCTCTGTTGCTTGATCCTCGTCGGTCGCTCTCTCTCTCTCTTCTCTCT